GAGGACGTCACGCCGTAAGGTGACAATCTGTGAGGAGGACGTCACGCCGTAAGGTGACAGTCTGTGAGGAGGACGTCACGCCGTAAGGTGACAATCTGTGAGGAGGACGTCACGCCGTAAGGTGACAGTCTGTGAGGAGGACGTCACGGCGTAAGGTGACAGTCTGTGAGGAGGACGTCACGCCGTAAGGTGACAGTCTGTGAGGAGGACGTCACGCCGTAAGGTGACAATCTGTGAGGAGGACGTCACGGCGTAAGGTGACAGTCTGTGAGGAGGACGTCACGCCGTAAGGTGACAATCTGTGAGGAGGACGTCACGGCGTAAGGTGACAGTCTGTGAGGAGGACGTCACGCCGTAAGGTGACTGTGAGGAGGACGTCACGCCGTGAGGTGACAGTCTGTGAGGAGGACGTCACGCCGTAAGGTGACAGTCTGTGAGGAGGACGTCACGCCGTGAGGTGACAGTCTGTGAGGAGGACGTCACGCCGTGAGGTGACAGTCTCTTGAGAGGGCCTCGCGCCGTAGGTCGCAGTCTTGTGAGGAGGGCGTCACGCCATAAGGTGACAATCTGTGAGGAGGGCATCACGCCACAGAACTACAGGGTCTTGAGAGGGCATCGCGCCGTGAAGTCGCAGTCTCTTGAGATCTGCCAGGATCGTAAGGTCACAGTCTCTTACATCGTGCCGAAAGGTTAAAGGCTTTTGAGGAGGGCTTCGCGCTGTTAGGCCATGGTCTTTTGAGGCGCACACGTAGATGGCTCAGTGGTCCTGACTGGCTCCCGCCTCCTGCCGCAGCTGGATGGCGCCAGTAAGCCACCGGCTATGACTCCTGAGGAGCAGGAGGTGATGACGCGCTCCTGCTGCCCGGACCTGGCCGAGGTGCGGCGCGTGCTGAACGATTGTGCTGGTGACGTGGACGCCGCCGCAGACTTCTTGCTGGCGCTCAACAACTGGAGCCAGGACGTGACCGGTCAGTGGGAGGAGGTGACGGGAGAGGGGGTGGGGGGCACTCCCCGTCGTGGCCAGGGAGGCATCGGGCGGGCCGCGCTCCCCACCGTGGCATGGGAGGTGACGGGCAGACCGCGCTTGCCGCCGTAGCAGGGTATGCGCGGCTGGGGCGCACTCCCCGCTGTAGCAGGGGAGGCGGTGGGCGGGCTGCGCTCGCTGCCACTGCCAGGGTCCGGCCCTGTCCGCTCCATGGCAACGGGTGACGACCGTCATATCTGGTAGTTCGTGACAGCCGCACTGGGTGCCGGGACGGGCTACGGGAGTGCGGATGGGATGGCGCCAAGTGGCTTTGGTTGGAGTGGGTTTGAAGGACCTTGATGGCCGCGTGTAAAAACAGGTGGAAGTTTCTGCGCTGGGCCGTATTGGGAATGAAACAGATCATGCTGTAGAAGGTAGCAAGTTGGTATATGTCGTAAGTTGTTAAGTGCATTTGTGAAGAATATGCACATAGATAAGGCGGTAGTAATAGCCTCATTCCCCGGCGAAAAAAGCAGGGAAAGGAGATATAGATGCGCTGATATTTCGGCAACATGCCCTTGTCGAAACGAATAGCAGAAGTGATTACAAGACTGTCTGCCGTCGATCCTACTCGACTTTTCAGGGTTTTTTTTTTAAACAGCGGGCCGCAGTTTTTTACAGGGCACCAACATTCAGGGGGACATCATCATTAAACATCCTTGTATAGCTCCCTGTATTTTATAACATTCAGGGCACATCTTTATTCAGCGTCCTTGAACCCCCCCCCCCCCCCGTATTTTATAACATTCAGAGGGCATCATTATTCAACATCCTCGTATATCCCCCTGTATGTTGGTGTCCTGTAAAAATTGTGGCTCGCCGTTTTAAAAAAGTAAAAAATCAAGTGGGATCATCTGCAGACAATTTTGAATGCACTTCTGCTATTCGTTTCGATAATAGCATGTTGCCGAAATATCAGGACGTCTATCTATATCTCGATTCTGGTTTGTCTCCGAGAAATAGGGCTATTTACTGCTGTCTCATCAAAGTCTGTATTTTGGTCAATACAAGTTTGGAGGGATGATGAGGACATGGCCTGCGAAGATAGATGTCAAGAATGCCAGAAAAAGACCTGTTAAGTGTCCAGAGTGCTTTGCGGCATTTACGGGCTGAGTTGCAGTCTGCTACCGGTCCCTGGTGCTAACTAGCGGCGCGCTGTTTCAGACGCCGCGGTGTCGTCCTCATCGCCGCACGAGATGACCAAGGCGGCCGCCGCCGCTACCGCCGCCAAGCTCAGGAATGAGAAAAACAGTGGCCAGGTACTCATGACCTGTCCTCGGCTTTACGTACCGCCTGACTCGTATCAGATAATTAGCCTGCCTCTTCACGACGGTCATGATGCTGTACTGATATTTTGCAGTCCATTTGTATTTGAAAGGTACGTCGGGCGGCTGCGGTCGCGGCCGTAAAGGTATGTTGGGCGGCTGCGGTCGCGGTCGTAAAGGTATGTTGGGCGGCTGCGGTCGCGGTCGTAAAGGTATGTCGGGCGGCTGCGGTCGCGGTCGTGAAGGTATGTCGGGCGGCTGCGGTCGCGGTCGTAAAGGTATGTTGGGCGGCTGCGGTCGCGGTCGTAAAGGTATGTTGGGCGGCTGCGGTCGCGGTCGTAAAGGTATGTCGGGCGGCTGCGGTCGCGGTCGTAAAGCGTCACCGTCTTGCCTCTGCATGTTTCCAGACTCCTGTCAAGGTAATCGGTCGGTTAATGGCTTTGCTTCCCTTGCACGTTATGCCCAGCTATGTGTTTGCTGTCTACAAACCATCCATTTCGTGCCTGGTCCTACTGCGCAAGTCACATTACTTCACTTTACGTTATTTCAGTTTATTTCATTTTATTTCACTTCAATTCACTTCGCTTCGCTTTACTTTATTTCGTGTCTGTTCCCGCACTTATCCAGTGATTAGCCAGTGGCTGATTGCTCCCCCATGTGCGGTGCCGTGGCTGTGTTTGGTGGTCGCGTTGATATGCTGCCGCCCCTCTCCCCGTGACGGTGCGTGAAGCCGTCCGTGACTGACGCTGTCGCGCCGCCGCCAGGCGAGCGGTCGGCCGCGTCGCGAGCTGGAGCGGCGGCAGCGGCGCGAGGAGCGCGAGCGGCGCCGCCGTCGGAAGGGCGCGGAGCCGGCCGACCCGGCCGCCTCGCCGCCGGCCGCCGTCGGCCGCCTGGCCGCGCTCACCATCTAGCGCCGCCGCCGTCGACCGTGTGCGCTCCGTGCCCCTGGGGCGGTGGGGCCGGCGGTCAGCGAGGAGGAGCGGCGGGCGGTGGCGCCGCCGCAGTCGGGCAGACCGACTCCGGCCATCGGCCGCCGGCTGGAGGGATGGGATAACCAGCTGGTGGGACTGGGCGCCGGTGCGACCGGCCGGTACGGGCCTGCTCACCGTGTGAGTGCCGCCGATCGCGGCTGGCGTCAGCAGCGGCTTGAGTGCGGACAGTGCCGCTGCTGACGGATGGCTGCTGCCGGTCCGACGGCCCGGACTGCTCGCATTGGTGTGAGCGCCCCTGGCGCGGTCCGCCGCTCTGGAACGGCTCGCTCTCCGAACGGGCAGAGGCGGCGAGCGCTCTGGAGAGCGCTCTTCAGCCCGTGTTGCCGCGTTCGCCGGTAGTGACTGGCGTGTGCCACGGTCATGCCCGGCCGCCGGCCTGCAGGGCGCCGGCGTCGGCGTCACGCCGGCCGTGGCGGAGGTCAGGTCATGCGCGTGCGAGCTGCTCCTGGGCTGGTGCGCCGCGCCGCCACACGTGATCAGAGTGGGGTCGGCGCGCCGGCGCCGACGCCATCTTGTTATTGTTGGAACATATTTAGCTGGTGCGGAGTACTTGACTGGTGATAGCTACCGGCGTTTATTTGGTGTTACTGATCCGCTACTACCCTCCTACCCTTATAACTGCTATGGTTAGCCGGAAAGCTGTGATGGACGTGGACTCAGTGGCGGCTGTGTTGCCGTGTTTCTGGGACCTTTGGTGGGAGGTCGGCGGTGGGCACTCGCCACGTGCGCTGCCCCTTGTGAATGACCGCTCGACCCAGGGCTGGCTACGGCCAGCAGCCCGCTTGCCTGTTGACCGCCGACTGGGACCGCGGCGGCGGCGCTGCCCCCGCGGCGACGCGCCGGATGACGGCAGACCACCGCGGTTGCGCTGCCTGTCCCTGCACCAGTGGATTCGGAGTCATGGCTGCGCCGTGTGACAGATGATTCGCCGGCCGGCGCGGGGCCGTGGCGCTGCGCCGTGTGACAGATGACTCGCCGGCCGGCGCGGGCCGTCGCGCTGCGCCGTGTGACAGATGACTCGCCGGCCGGCGCGGGGCCGTGGCGCTGCGCCGTGTGACAGATGACTCGCCGGCCGCGGCGCGGCCAGAGATGCGCGGGGCGTGGCGCTGCCGTGTGACAGATGACTCGACCCGTGCGGGGCCGCCGTGACGAGACCGCGGGGCGCGGGCGTGGGCTGCGCGTGTGACAGATGACTCGCCGGCCGGCGCGGGGCCGTCGCGCTGCGCCGCGTGCGAGTGGAGCCGCGTTGCGAGCCGTGCGCCGCGTGCGAGCTGTCTCACGTTTGGAGTCGGAACCGTCGTGGCTGCATGGAGCGTGAGTGGCTGCACCTGCCGGCGGCTGCATGTCTGTCTGCGGAGCGTCCGGCTGTTTGTGGGCGGTGTCGCCCCGACTGGCCGCCGGCGTGCAGCACCACGCGGCGTCAGCGGCGCGCCGTCCCCCGAGGCTAGCGGCCGCCCACGCTCCGGCCGCCTGTCGGGGTCGTCTGCCACCGCTCTGTGACCGCGATGATCGGAGCACGGACCGTAGACACTGTGACGGCCCGGAGACCGCGGTGGCGGCCGTCGTCGCATGTGGGGTCACAGGTGGCGTCGAGGTGCCCGGCGCGGCGCGGTGGCCGCCGGGCGTTGAGACCGGGCCGGGGGGTGGGGGGGAGGGGGGCGGTTAGCGGCGCGGTACAAGCGCGGTGTAGTCCGCGGGTGAACAGGCTAGGCTGGTTGTGCTTAGAAAATATATTTTGCAGCATGAGGGCGTGTTCAGTTCTGAGGACGGTGTGGGTTCGCTCCGGGCGGAGGCGTCCGATACAGACTGGAGCGGCAAGTCTCATCGGGTTGGCGGCGGCATATGCGCACGCACAGTCGTGTCCTGGCTGCATGCCACTCAAAACTGTTCAGGTCAGCTTTTCTATTGTGACAATTGTGTATGCAATTGCAATTTGTGTATGCAATTTACATGCCCTCTGCATTGATAAGCCCGACATTGTTCGGAGCGACCTCCTTGGTGCGGACAGTTCTCATTTTAGGATGCGGTAAAAGCGCGCTCCTAGCTTTTGACATTTGACAGCGATCATGTGCCTTCCGGGCGTGTTGAGTGCGAGTGCCGACAAATCATCACAATCTGCGACAAGAAGCAGCCGTTTTCGTGTCATAAGTTGTTGCTGAAGACAGCCAACCTTCAGTATACCAGGAGGTGCGTAAAGATTCGAACATTGATTGCAGTATATTATGAGAATACTGAAAGTTTCCAGCAGTGTTCACGGCTACTAGTGACCGGCACTTCTGGGCACGTCGTAATTTTTGATAATAAATTTCACTGGTTACCCGTCATTTTTGTTTATCCAGTAACTCCTGGTTTCCTAAAGGTCGTCCGCGTAGGAACTCCATGTCAACAAACGAGTTTAGAGCCTTTTATGGTCAAACAAGTGCTGCGCGCTAGTTGTTCCCGATGGCACTCGGCGTCGCGCGCTTTGGACGCGCTTTTCATTTCACGTGATCATCCCTTCATCTGAACAGCAGGCATGAAAATGCAAACTGAAGCCAGTCGGATTTCATAGTCGTCCTTGGAATGACGAGGTCGCCCGGGTCATTTCCCATTCGCCGCTTTGCAACCCGAAAAACGTAGACTTCTCGTGAGATCAGGGTCACAAGATGACCGAAATGGAAAACTCACGGCTGTCAGACTTGCTAACTATGCGTGACCAAACACCATTCTGTAAGATCTCCTAAACTAAAGCATCGGCAGGGGGAGTCCGGCTGTGAGATGTTTCTGCTTCTGACTTTAGTGCTGCTGCCTGTTGAGTAGCTGGTGGCGACACCTACTCAACGTGCTCGGCAGCTCCGGGTGGAGCCGCTCCGGCGTCGTCGACAGTCGCGGAGGGCTCATTCGCCTCAATCGCCTCGATCTCGCTAATTTCGTCCACTCTGTGGGGCAGGTGATGGGTGTTAGTTGAAATCACGCCCTATTATGAGGGGTTATTCCCCGAAGTGATTGATATTACCTACCAAAGGAAAAACGGCAGACTCATCTGTTGGAAAGCTAGCGGCAGAATGGTCTCAACTGCTTTGATAAAAACTCAAATGCCACCACGTGAAGAAGCTCCATAAGAAAAGATCAACGTCATATGCAGTAAGAGAGAGAGAGAGAGAGAGAGAGAGAGAGAGAGAGAGAGAGAGAGAGACAGAGAGAGAGAGAGAGAGAGAGAGAGAGAGAGAGAGAGAGAGAGAGAGAGATATATATATATATATATATATATATATATATATATATATATATTGCATCACTTCCAGTAAACCTTCCCTGCTGCGTGAATGTCGCAGTTTAGAAACTACAATATACTACAATACACCAAACAAGAATGCATTTCGCGCCTTGTAAATCGCTCACAAGCTGTGCCGCATGCCTTCCATTCCCCACCGGCAGTTACCCACTCCTAGTCACTGTCCTCCTCCTCTTTCCGTGACTGTTCTCCCTGGCTGTGATTGGCCGGCGCCGGGCCGCCGCCCTGCTGGGGGGCCGTTGGTTCGTCGGGCTCCTCCATGGAGTCCGGCATCAGACCGTCGTCACTGGAAGCGCGGTGCCCTCGAGCGGTCACGTGTGTGGCCGTGTCCGCCGGCCACAGATAGCGACGGGGAATTCGAGCTGTGTGCGGCTGTGTCCAGGCAGAGCAGGTATCGGCAGTGTCCAAGCGACGTTACACGGACGTCCTCGGGCTGGCGTTTTGCTCCGCCAGGGGATGCCGAGATGAGGCCAATTGTATGTAACCCAAAACATGCGCCGAGGGAACTGGTATCATGGCGTCAGCTCGAAGGTAAGTGCACAAGCGTAGCTCTCAAATCACAGATCAGCCAAGCTCTCTTCAATACTGCTGCTAACAATAACGCTTTGTACAACTCTTTGGAACCGAAGCGAAGCTGTCGCACATAAAAAAGAAATGGCACACTGCGTACTAAGACATTCAAAGCACATGCGTACCACACACAAAGCACATGTACAGCGTGAAGGAGAGCAAACCTCTTCTGACTGCACTCGCTGTTCCTAGCAAAAGGTCATCGGTAGGCGAGGACATCAAGGTGAACGGAAAACCCCGCCTGGGGAAGAACCTTCACGGATAGAACCCCGTCAGTCGCCTACGCAGCAGACCCTCGCCCCTCCCACACGCGCAGCTCAGCACGGGGCCGTTCCGGAGGCGGCCCGGCCCTGACGACGGCCGCCGCCGGCGTACTCACGGGACGTCGGCGTCCCACACTCGCAGCACGCCGTCGCTGGAGCCCGTGTACAGCTTCTTGCCCACCACGTGCATGCAGTTGATGGCGGCCTCGTGACCCGTGTATGTGCGCTTCAGGTTGCCAGAGCGGGCGTCGAAGGCGCGCGCGATCATGTCCGCGCAGCCGGTGAACACTGCGGCCGGCGTCAGAGGCGTCAGGTCAAGGCTGCTGCTGACCCGAGAGATGGGTCATGGTGGGGTTAGCGGGGTCAGCAGGGTGTAGGGGGGGGGGGGGGGGGAGCGGTTGCGGTAGCACCACCGACAGGCGGTTCCTTCGTCCGGCTTTGGGTTAGGTTTGGCCACGTAGCGCCACGCACAGCCCACCAACTGAGTCAAAAAACTTCTCCGATGAACATGAACTAGAACCCAATATCTGCATTGTAACAGAAACAAGATTCTAGTTTTCGGTTCAGCACGCATGTTCGTACTACATAAGAACCATGTCTGCAGAACCAGCCTTTTGTACGTGCTGCCACGTTGTGCTTCTGGCGCGAACTCGCCCTCCCCGTGCACCTGGTTCTGCCCCCGGCCGACTCCCTGATGTGACCTGGCACCTCCCTCCCTCTCACTAACGGATGCCGTTGTGGAACCGCAGGCAAATGACGGTGTCCCGGTGAGATTTGTAGGTGCGCGTGCAGTCTCCGAACTCGGTGATGAAGCAGCGGGCCGTGGTGTCGGCCGACCCCGTGTACATCAGCTTGTTGACCACCTGCATGCAGATCACCGAGTCCTTGTGGCCGCTCAGCAGCTGCCGGCAGGGGGACAGGCTGTCAGGCATTGTCACGCCACCAGCTCGGTCGTGGACTCGGGCTGGTGCGGGCGGCGGACAACTGGGGCTCCGGGCGCGCTCTCGCGTGGGTTAGCAGTGCAAGGGAATGAAGCCAGCGTATGTCGCTACAGAGATATTACGCAAAGATGCTATTTGATGTTCTTTTATCTTCACTACACGATTGAATATGGACTGCCATCACAGCAATGCATGCAGACGTCCTGAACCATGGAAGTAGTGCCTGAGTAGTGTGCCTGGCTACCAGGAGTGACGGACGCCATTTTCTGGACGCCATGTTTCTTCTAGCAGGCATGTTTTAATATACCATCCCATAATGCAGATGAATCGGTCCGTTTAAAAATGGTTTTCATTAGTTGTTAGGAACGACCTATGCACAGGTCACATGTAGCATGCGCCGACGCACGACAAATCAGCGCCGAGGATTGATATGTGCAACTCCTGGAGCCCGGACGATTTCACACAGAGTCCAAAACAGTTCTTTGCACTGAACCGTGGACTCATTTCTTTCAAAGCAGTGTTCAGCCCTGGGGTTAGTATTTGGTGAACAAGATTCACGATGAATCTTCTAGATCACTTTGAACTAAGACCATGAAAATGTCACGTCATTTTGTCTACAGAAGAGAACGCCAACGACACAACGGTCTGAGGATGGCCGCACGCTCGCACACGCTCGTGCACCACTGTCTGCTCCGCTCACCTTGGTGCACACACCCTGTTCGATGTCCCACTCGCGAACGGTCTTGTCCGGTCCTGAGGTGTAGAGCAGCTTGCCGGTGGCGTCGATGGCCATGCAGCTGACGGGACCCTTGTGGCCCTTGAACACCTGCCGGCCGGGCAGCAGGCGTCAGCTCGCCGATCGCCATGCCGTGTCGACGCCAGAAAACACTCAAGTGAGAAAACATCTGCCTGAAAACCACCGTAGGCAAACCAAACAAACAAACACGAACAAACGTTGTACGCAGACTGAGCATTGCGAATCAAAGACGTTTCAGTGGGAAAGCGAAGAAGGGATATGAGCAGCACGATACAATACTTTTAAAAGTAACCTCATGCTCAGAGTTTACCAAAAAAACAGCGTCCTGGCGAAAAGACCAGCAGCTGACTTTTGTGAGCTCGGTCATCATATGTTACCCTGGCGTTCGGAATACACACAACAAGCTCTGCTTAGCATGTTTTCCGGGCCCAAAACGAACCTTGCAAATATTTCTCTGGAAAGAAAATTGTTAATGAAAGAATGATGTAGCAGAAACTTTCACAATGCGAGGCGATCGGATCGTTAGTATCTTCCTCTGTTGGCTGCCATGCAGCATGCACTTGAACCCAAAGGATGCCACGTTTTGTAAGTATATTTTTAAATCGTATTTGTCTATAGTATGGCTCCACGTGGTGCTGGTGACCTTGACGGTCGTTGATTGACCTTGAGCTGAATCCCCTTGGCGACGGACCAGGACCGGGCTGTGCCGTCGGCGGCGCCTGTGATGAGGACGTCCCGCGGGTGAATGCCCTCTTCCAGGTCCTCGTCCTCTTTCTCGGGCTCCGGCTCGGCCTCCTGGTCGCCTTCGCCGCCGTTTCCAGCCAGGGGTTTGTCTGGCTTCTCCTCGTCGTCCCCCGGGATGAAGCAGATCGGGTAAACGCCGGCGGTGTGACCCTGCCAATAAAAGTAAAGGTCATGGTGCCACGATGACCTGAGCTGACCGCTGGCGTTAGCAATGCGTGTTGGAGTGACGTTAGGAGTGTGAACCTACCATTGTAGACCAAGACTGACAAAGCGTAGAAAGCAGGAGCAGGTTTCAGCTGGTCGTGCATCATGTGCCGATGTTGGTCAATGCAATAATGAAACCGCTGTGCGCAGCTTGCCCGCTGCACTACCGGTGCCCAATTTCTACTAACTCAGAATAACATAGGGCCATCTGGTCTCATCGCCCTCTCGGCACTAGGTCACATGAGGCTCACGACTCGTCCAGGACGAGCCGAGCGCGGGGCCTGGCGGTGCTGCTCACCTCGAACGTGCGGATGCATGTGGACTCGGAGTCGTCGTCGTCGTCAGTCTCAAACAGCCACAGCTTGCAGGTCTTGTCGTAGGACGAAGAGATGATGAAGTCGGCCGTACACAGCACGCGGGTGACACGTGAGGTGTGACCTGCCGGGCCAGGGGAAATGGGTGTGACCTGTCGGGTCAGGAGTGACACGTGTGACCTGCCGAGTCAGGGGTAACAAGTGTGACGTTCCAGGTCAGGAGTGACAGGTGTGACCTGCCGGGCCAGGGGTGACAGGTGTGACCTGCTGGGTCAGGGGTAGCAAGTGCGGCGCTCCAGGTCAGGAGTGACAGGTGTGACATGCCGGGTCAGGGGTGACGTGTCGCACCTGCGTGGTCAGGTCAGGTCACGTGACCGGAATGGTAGACACTCGACGTGACGTAGACAACCAACTGAGCATTATGGGGCCAGGACCACTGGGACACAGGGCCACTATACGACCCGGCCCCATTCGGGCGGCATACGAAGGCCCGACCAGCCGTGCAGCGAAACGATGCGGCACACCATCCCCCAATCCCCGAGCTTTGCCTGCCGCTCGCCAGGTGGCACCGCAAGGGCTGCGCGGCTGCGCTCCCTCGATCCTGCCGCTCTGTCCTGAGGTGAGGGGGGCTCAAACCTTCGTAAACGAAGAGGCAGGCGCAGGTGTACATGTCCCACTTCCTAATGGAGTTGTCGGCGCTGCCGGTGATGACGAACACGCCTACAGTGCCGATGGTAGTAATGTAGTTGGTGTGCCCCCTGGAAAGCGGCGTGTCCAGTGCGTCAGCGCAGAAGCGTAACTCGCATGATGGGCAGCACAGGGGCTTCGGATCAAGGCAGATGAGCTCGAATCCCATGGGTCCACTTACCCTTAATCCTGGAAGAGGTGTCCCGTTTTCCGGAACAAACTGCAAGTATTAGCAATGAACGTGCTTTGGTATCCCCAGGTGGAAGCCCTGGCCAAGCACCCACAGATGCCCTGAAGAGGCTCTCTGCGGGGTAGGTCTTGGTAGCTCTCTCAGGCGTATGCAGTATGCAGTAGCTGCTCTCAGGCGTATGCAGTCTCACCCCACCACCCTTCACCCCCTTTATCCCATAGCCATGAAAAAGTTCCTGCTAGCCGAAAGAGCTCTCATCCAAACGGAAACAAACCAAACAAACCCCGCATGCCACGTACGTGTCTGGCGGCACTGCATCATATGCTCAAAGGGCAAATGGTCTCACACTCAGCTATGCCGGGGAACAATGCGACGATTACTCAGCTCCTCAGAGCTTACTGGCACGCCGTTCGGGAATCGAAGCGGCCATCTCCCGAGATGTGGACCAGGTACCAACTATCCCTCGCTCGGACGGAAGCCAGTACGTCCCACAACAGCGCCTCAGCCTGCCGTAGGGCGCTCACCTGAGTATGCCCATGCACTCCGTCTCGGCGCCCTCGGTGTTCCAGAGGCGGGCCGTGCAGTCCTCGGCACCGGTCACCAGCACCGAGCGGTCCTCGCTTACGGCCATCACATTGATGCTGCCCTCGTGGTCGGCGATGGCCTCTAGGTCCCAGTTCTTGTTTCGGTCTCGGCTCATGCCACCGCCCATCTTGGTCGCCTTAACTCAGGGGATCCCGCTCAAGTGTCCTGCGCGAGGGGGCTAGGGAGTCAGTGACCAGCCTTCATGGCGGAGGTAGCCAAAGTCCGTGGCGTGCGCAGGGGACACGTGCTCTCAGTGAAACAGTCTTGGCTAGAGCCTGTCGGATCAAAGTAAGACAGCCCTGTCTTGCCTTGCTCAGGAATAAGTGGAATTGCGGTAGGCAGCATGTCTGCAAAGGTCGGCTCTTTCCTAGGGCGCACTGAGGCGTCCCACCTGACAGGTGCTGACGTCCCCAGTTCAAATGGCGGATAGTGGTGAGTGTGCATTCTAGCTGTGCGAGACCGGACGCGGACATCCCCCTCCAACCGTGCCTCTCTACTGGTGTTATGGATGCTGATGCTTCAGCAATCACTGTGGGCCCAAGCAGATCACGGAGTTGTGCGTATTTGTAGTCTAATTGACTTAGAGATATAGTGTGACCTTATCCACCCAGGCGCTTACGTCAAAGGCATTGTTGCCCTTTCCTTGTTCTTTCGCGAGTCCAGTAAGCTACTTTGACAACAATCGGAAGCTGTTTTGCACGCTAGCCACCCGAACACAAGCCAGCGCATTAGGCCTGGTTACAGAACATTCTGGAATGGTACGGTCTGGTCGGACCACTGTGTGCGAAAAGCCATTAAACGTCAGTGCTCTCGGCTATGACGTCAAAGCAGTCATGCATCGGTCCGCAAGTACCTGCAGTTTAATGCATAAAGCGACGAAATGGGTCCAGAGCCGAGACGCATGCCAAAAAAGGTGCATGGGCCCATGGCACGGACCACTGATGGGCACCACCGGCACAAGCGAGCTAGTGGGTCAGCCACACCGGTCCGGTGTTTGCAGACGTTGTCACAGTTTAAAACGAGGTTTCATCAGGGCAGGGCAGGGCAGTTTCATTCAGTAGAGCGGTCTGGCCCGAAGTAGGTGATCCTCGTAAAGGTATTCTGAATACGAAGGCCTCAAATGATGCCTTTGTGTACTGAGAATGAGTGAGGGCGTTAAAGTGTAGCATTATTAAGTGGTAATCAAGGTAAAAAATGTAACAATGTGTGCATGCATTAAAATAATTTCACACTAGACAAACACATGACTATGCTAACTGTCGAAGTAATTTTCAGAGATGGAACACAATTGCCCGTGCACATCGGATTTGTGATGCGGTGGTGTGATGTCATCCACAATCTCTAAAAGGCGCGCATTCTTCTGCCCGACAACCAAAAAAGGTCTAGTGTTTGTGTTTGGTTAAACTTGATGAAGCTTGTCCGTGCAGCCATCTCGGGATTTTGACAGCCTGGTGAAGGCTGGTGACTGGTCAAACCTTTCAAGCCTGACTCGTGCGGACGAGCGGGAGTACTGCGTGGCGCGTAACATCCCTTTCAGCCCTGTCTGCGTGGTGTGTAACATCCCTTTCAGTCCTGTCTGCGTGGCGCGTAACAGCCCTCTCAGCCCTGTCTGCGTGGCGCGTAACAGCCCTCTCAGCCCTGTCTGCGTGGCGCGTAACATCCCTCTCAGCCCTGTCTGCGTGGCGCGTAACATCCCTTGCAGCCCTCCCTGCGTGGCGCGTAACATCCCTTTCAGCCCTGTCTGCGTGGCGCGTAGCATCCCTCTCAGCCCTGTCTGCGTGGCGCGTAACATCCCTTGCAGCCCTCCCTGCGTGGCGCGTAACGTCCCTTTCAGCCCTGTCTGCGTGGCGCGTAACATTCCCTCTCAGGCCTGTCTGCGTGGCGCGTAACATCCCTCTCAGCCCTGTCTGCGTGGCGCATAACATCCCTCCCAGCACTCCCTGCGTGGCGCGTAACATCCCTTTCAGCCCTGTCTGGTAAGAGGTCGTAGCGAGAATTGTACGATGAGCTGGACCGGCTGACTATGGGTGGTGGGATCAAGTAACACGGAACGAGCTCGTTGTTGTCATAGGAGCTTTACGGCGTACTCCGCTGCTGTAGTTATATGGCGTCGCGTGCTTGTAACTCTGGCGGAAGGGCGACGCAACGAGCTTTGCTTGACATGTGCTAGGGGCATAAAACAATCCATACGAAGCATGCGGTACAACGGTTTTGTCTGAGAGGCGTAAAGCAGAGCAAAGTGAATTTCAAGGAAGCAAGAAGCGGAAAAGTGAAAGTGGTGGGATAAGGTGGGGCGCATTTTCATTATCTAGAGCAAGACTGTAATGCGACCCTGTACCCAAAGCTTGACTACTGTACTCAGGCCATCCAAAAGCTTCACAGATGCGTAATATCCAAACCATGCCAGTATACATTCACTTAATAATTGGCGTATCTTGCTAGCCTCACATCATGTTGAGCAATTCATGTCAACAGCACTGGCCTTTTGAAAAAGATAAATGCATCACCGTTTTCAACACCTACCACATTCTGTTTTGACACTTAACTCATTTTGTTTGCAACACGTAGCTCTTACCACTAAAAGGACATTTTTTCAGGTGTTTCTGCCGACTGCTGTCATTGTATTACGCGTTAGACTGACACGACTCAGGACAGCCTGAAGATTGGGCTGTCTCTTCACAAGCCCATGACTTAGCGTGTGACTTATTAGCAAACGACAGTCCCAAACCACCGTGGATGAACAAGGAACGGGCTCTGTGGCTAAGAATCAATCTCAGCACACTCACGCAATACTTTTTGACACCATTTTCTCCCGATGAATAATAGCATAAGGTTGTACCTGACTTGCTGTAAGCCCATGATACAAGCTGTGTAACTTGCAACCAATCAGCAAAGTGAGATTCTCAAATGAACGTACAGAGATAAACAAAATTTGAAAATGAAGTTATCCCTAAGAGTTCAATTTGTGATGCACTATAACATGACTCAGACGGATCTGACTAGTGAGCAAATAAATTGACTCCTTTCATTTATGGCAGTCTTATTACTCATAACGTAACGACTGAAGACAAGGCGAAAGATAACAATATTGCATGCGTCCTGAAGCTGTTGGATAGTAAGCTGTTTTTGAAATCCCACTTTCTGATCGGTCAAGAAAAGACAAATCATTATTTTTGTATAGATCCGGTTTCCGGCAAACAACTCACGATACAACATCAGCTGACGATTCTCATAACGATCCGCCATATGTAAAGTGCTAATTTTATGTATCAATGCCGTGAATGTTAAGTGTTATTCATCAGCAAACCAGTCGGGAAATTTGTAATTAAAACCAGTCTCTGTCAATGCGTTCTTTTTTGTTTTTGTTTTTTGTTCTGCTTTTGTTTTCTGTTTTTGTTTTTGGACGTCCGCATGGCTAGCTTTCAGTTCAGAGCACCTGCTAAGCCTGTCGTGTGCCCTGAAGCTACCAACCCAACTGTGCCGTCAGTTCAACGGAGAACCGCGTCTTCCATCTTAGCAGAATGGTGTCAGCAGACTGGACCCCAGTGCACAGAATGACGAGTTCAGTCTTGTCCTTTGACTGGATCCCAGTGCACAGGATGACGAGCTCAGTCTTGTTCTCTGACTGAACCCCAGTGCACAGGATGACAAGCTCAGTCTTGTTCTCTGACTGAACCCCAGTGCACAGGATGACAAGCTCAGTCTTGTTCTCTGACTGAACCCCAGTGCACAGGATGACGAGCTCAGTCTACCTCATCCCTCGTAAGAGGCGCGCTACACTACCTTGCACTGAGCTGTGCCTCTGCGAACACAATCAAGAACAAATCAATTCGTCATTTTCGGTGCAATGTCTGTGTGCTTTATTCACATGTCTGAAAAGATTATTTGGACTGTCATTCCACTGCGGACAATAGTTAAATATATCTGGCAACCGCGACATGATGGAATATCAGCGTGTGCAAGCCGTACAGCAGGGCTCGTTTACGCAACTACGCAATGCTAAATCATATGAGGCAAGAATCGACAATGCGTCGAATGACAATGGATCACCGCTTTAAACAATATCTTCGGTAGGCTAAACTCCTGCAAGCAATTTGCCGCCTTGGCAGTTGGCACATTTTGGACATTGAGAGGAGTGGTTCTCCACAGCCGTGATGGGTGGTCACATTATTAGGCAAGATGGTACAGTTGTCATTATATATTATATTATAATACAACATTCCACATCATAGACGATGTATAGTTAACCAATTGAAACCAACGTTCCTGCATAGTTGTGACGAGTTGGTGCGTTCTTTCAGTCACTCATAGCGCGACCAGGTCGTTTTCTCTAACTGCGGTTCTGGTTACCTTCTTGGTTTCAGGAAAAGACGCAACCAATTGCACTGACCACATGCATCAGCAACAAAATTATGAAGGCTTCATCAGGCTTTGAGTGCAATTTTAATGCCATCGAGTGAAAAGAGCAATGACCCTGGTCCCCAGACCTTCTGTTGAAAAGCACCAATCGCCCACCTGCTGCAGCCGTATTTAGAGCATCCCTCAGCGACAAGGACGCCCGACAGAAATCCAAGGCACTGCCGTCCATCAGCACACAAAACAGCTGCACCCAACGACTCGTAACCACACAAAACACTCCGTCAACGACAGCATGCAGGTGCAACTCTGCGCTTTAGCGTCGACAGGCTAATACACAATGCATGGCCCCGCCCTGAGGCCGCACGTCGTCCACCCCCTCTCTCTCCCCCACCAACCCTCCCCCTCTGCCCATACCCACCTTACAGAGTGTGCGCTGTCTTGGCGGTCGGCCTAGGAGTCGCGTCGGCCGTGCGTCTCTGTCTCGGAGGCGTCCCGCTCCAGTCGGCCGCCGGTCGCCGGCCACCGAGCTGCCACGTTGACGCTGTGTTGGGCCGGCGCCCTGGTAACTCCGTTGTTGCCGCCGTTCCCTGGCACCCGGGCGTATTGCGCCGCCGGCCGGCTCCACGCGGGGGTCAGGGGTCACGAACACCGCACGCTCACGCGCCGGACGCCACGGTGGGGGTACGGCGCTGGGCATGGGTAGACTGAACAGATGCTGACGGAATGAGATGAGGTGAGTAAGATTTGTGCTGCTGGGTAGCTCCGGTCGGTTTGGGTCTTGGGACGATCACGCACGCGTGCGGATCCTTGACAGCAGTGCCGTAGTATACCAGTGCGCTGCCGTACTAGCGCCAATACATTAGGCTCATCAGTCAACGCAGCTTGAGGGGGTCAGCGGAGGTCAGTGTTCTCACGTATCATGAATACAGCAAAATATATTGCATGCACATGTAGTGACAGTCACGTAATGAAATGACGGAGACTGCCGCACAGACACCAGTTACATTAGGATGCTCATCGTGCATGCGTGCGTCAACCCAAGGGAAATATTTTACCGTCAATTGTTTGCCGTCAGTTGTTTACCGTCAATTGTTTGCAACTCGATGGAGGCAGCTGCTGAATCGAGGATCAAGTCAACACGCTGGACAAACCTCGTGTTTACGCTAACGTCTACCATTGGTGGAAGGCTGGCGATGGTAAAAAGCTCATTGATCCACGGAGTCCGCTGGTATGCATTATTAATAGCCTGCACCTGTCGCAGGCCCACGACCGACGTCAGTTGTGCGTGCGCTGGATGTGTGGTGGACCAGAGGCCATTTCCTCCACCAGGTGGTTAACAGGACTGGTATTGCTGCATTTAGGCGGCGGGCGTCTGCTGACGCAGTCTCCTCGATTTCTGCTGCACTTTGAATGGCAGCCTGCTGTGGCGCTGCCAGCAGTATATTGGCAGATTGCACGGAGTTTGACCTAATTCTAGTAGCCAGCCTGCTGTGACGCTGCCAGCAGTATATTGGCAGATTGCACGACGTTCGACCTAATTCTAGTAGCCAGCCTGCTGTGGCGCTGCCAGCAGTATATTGGCAGATTGCACGACGTTCGACCTAATTCTAGTAGCGTCAAAACAGCGGCGACATCATCAGTGTGCCTTTTACAGGACATTTGACTCGATTGACATGGTTGACCGCCGTGGGCAAAATTGCAGTGTTTTTCTGGATTCCAAGCCATGTAGGGATAGCGGGCAACGCTATTGCCAACGCCATCGTAAAGCCGACCACTCGTGCGTCTTGCACACATCTTTTCAGCTCCCATCTAGGAACGTCTACCCAGTCATCACAGCTTTCTTAAAAAGAAAATGGCAACGCTGCTGGGACGACGAGAGCAACAACAAGTTTAGGACGATAAAGCCACTGTTGGGTCTTTTCGCCATCTGGCTTGCGAGCGGCTTGGTGTGAAGAGGCCGCTCTGTGTCGTCTGCGAATAGGCCATACTTACGCGTCACATGGATATCTGTTGTGTGGTGGCGGGAAACAATCCCGTAAATGCGGTGCACCGTTGACAGGTTATCATATGTTTTACTCCTGCTCACGTTCAAGGAATGACGACTGCGGCGTTTTGGGCGAAGTACGTCATGTGTGGCTTAATGCGACGTGTTGGGCAACGACTCTTCATTGTCACACTCAAGCGAGTTGTTTTCGTTTCTAAGGGGCATGAAGTTTTCAGCTGTATTTACTAAACAGCTATTATGGGGGCAATATGACCTTTGATGTCGACGCGCCCTGAAATATCAAATCATCATCATCATTACATCAGCGGCTCCCAGCCTAACTGGCAGCATGTATGTAACAAGATACGTTAATGAGACGTTTAGGCCAAGAACCTATTCATCATCCATTTGACCGATTTGTACGAGAGATGACATAAATGCAAGGCTGGGTTTCAGCCAGTCGGCTGACCGGCTAGAGACAGACTGGTCGGACCCACGCGGGGGCAGCCAGCCCACCCGTCCAGCCGGCCGTCTTGGCGAGGCTCGGCCACTGTTGAAACATACATGTGCGTTGATTCTAATCGTGGATTTGAGATGAATAAATTCGCTTTGTTACCCATTCAGCTTCGATTACAGAACGCCAGGTGCTCTACACCTATTACTCGCGTTTTATTAGCAGTTTTAAAAAATCCAACGTCAACTACTAATTGTGATCACGTGCGATTATTACGTTTCGCTACAGCATAGCCGTAAACCATCACCCTATCGGAAAATTGCTAGGTGTAACCAGGAAAGTATTCAAATTTGTGTAAAACGAGTAGAAACACGGAAAATAGCCTTAACGAAAGGCTTATCGTTTATCTTAGGGAAAAGCCAAAGTCGTCAATATTTTGTTCGTCATTTATTCTAAGGTGCATTAATCGTACAGGCTAGTGAGGAGTTACCCAGGCAACCCTCTGGATAACGCACCGTGTGAAAAGACATTGGGAAATTGTGCAAGCCCCAGTAGACCTTGGGATGATTACCGATATTATGGCAAATCGATTCTGTGCTTGGTATCTTGGGTTACACATATATTTATTTGTTGATGCGTGATGCTGGTGATGAAGTATAGTGACTCCATTTTCCACAGAAAAGTGAAGTCAATTTTGTGAGCCTGCATTCCCACCGGTTACCACCTTACCGCAAAATCAGCTAGGCCAGCTAGCCGCCAACCTGAAAACCGGCTAGCCAGCTAGCCGCCAACCTAAAAACCGGCTAGGCGGGACCGAACTTGATAGGTAAATGACATGATGTTGATAGATATTGCGCTGGCAGGTCAATACTTGCCAGAAGCCTCTCATCGAAAATATTGGTGCGCTTAAACGGTGTACATCTCACGGTCAAAAAAGGTACACTAATGATATTTGCATTACATATGGTCCAATGTCCGGAAAAAAGTTATCCTATTTCTTACACAGAACTTGAGAGATAAAGATGGTTTGACACATCTTACTAAAGTAAGTTAGCTCTTTTATATTTGCTATTCTATATCACGACATTTATCGAAGGTTTGGCTGGAAAATAGTAGTTATGGGCAAAGTTGACTAACAGATTCATCCCGTGTGTTAGGGTTGTTTTACCAACAGGACGACGGAGAGCTGGTTTTGTGGCCGAGTCTTCCAGGCTTAACAGAGGTTAGTCGGCTGGATACGACGTGGTATGGGCGCAATGGGCAATGGTTTACGGCAACAATGGGTGGGGTGGGGCGGAAAACTCCGTTTGATCCCTTGATATCTTAAAAAGTATGGCATAGAACTTAAAAGCAAGCAAACATAGAACTTACAGGGTAGGCAAATCTCTATGTTAACTCGGTTGTGTGAGATTTTAAGATCTCCAAAGCATTATCTTCGGCCGACCAAGATCAAACAGGGCAAAATGGAAATCACTGTCGGAGGTGGCCTCATATTTTCCTAATGCAACCAATTCTAACTTAAACTCCTTTTGCATACATAGGGTCTCTCAAAATCAGTTTAAGACAGTGACCTCGCTGCATTTAGAAGACCAAGTTAACAAACATATTATGAAATCATTTTCGTGTTTGAATTTAGTAAGCGTCAACAAATTCCGCTGGGAGCAAGTTCTTTAAAGAGAAAAAGGCCTCTAGTGCGTCCGTCAAGTAGTCAGCACGAGCAATCTGCCAACACCTTCATGATCAAGGTGTTCAAAGTGGGAGTAAAAAACTGCACCGTAAGACAGCTTTTTTGCACTAAAAAGTTGTTTTGGTTTATCTCGATCGGATCTTCATAGCTGATCAAAAGCTAATATACTTAATTGTGATTATATTTTAAACTGCATGATTGTCAAAGAAACCATCTCAGATTTGCATGTCTCCGTAAAAAAACGTATGACGGAAGTTCCCAGAGGACGAGGAACGCATCGCTCTGCACTCTGGCGGCCTTCACTACCGGCGAGGCACCAACACTGTCCTTAAGCTGTCCCACTGCATCAAAAGTGGCCTGTTTCTCCGCGTAGTCGCCCGAGCGGGCTGGTATATCTCGCCGCTGCTGCAGTGCAGTCGGCGGTAGCAGCCGTTTCTTTCACTGCGGACCTCCCCGCCATTGGATGTGGACCTCTGGCGGGCCGCACACAGTATGCGGATGGCGAACAGCCTGCGTACCGTTGGTGCTAATTTTACGAAAGTGTAGGCCTTGAGCATAGCTACAAACTTCTGACAAAACCCTGCGCAACTATTTCAAAATGTATTTTTAGATTGGTCTGCCTATGCACTTTTATGCCTGCGTTGGCAAAGGTCTCCTACTGTTCTGCCTATGTCAGGTCTATGGTCTCTGTCCGTCCCGGTGGCTCAGTTGGTTAGAGCGCCTGCCTTCCGATCCACCCACCCGTGGCTGGGTGGGTTCGAGGCGCTTTAGGGCGCTCGCTATTTGCCCTTGACAGGTATGGCCTGCGGCCGGTGGCAGCGGTCGCGCTAAAGGTCAATTGACGTCAGAGGGCGGGACGGACCGTGCCGGGCACTGCAGGCACGTTAAGCTTTCGCCACTAAATTCTGCCGTTGCCTGGGATTGCGCGATCGGATGGTGGGGGTCAGAGCTCACACAACAAGCACTGCTTAGTGTGAGCGCTGTTCCCAGAAATCCATCCATTCAAAAGGGTTCGGACCAAATTTATAAAGAAAAAAAAGTTCTCAGAAAAGTTGTCTGGTGAACATAAATTAATATATTTTCCTTTTGGACATCCCATGACGTTTTTTCTTCCATATTTACGGTCTTACAGCATTGAAAATAAACATTAAGCTTTCAGCAAAAAATTACATATCTAGAAGCCCGTGCATTCTCAAGGCCACTTGCACCTAACAGTCTTGGCAGGTGTCCTTTCAACGCGGCTGCATGTCATGCCCACATCCAGAACGACAGCGTGCTTCTCGCGCGGCTCCACATCCCGCAGCGGCGTATTTTCCTCAAACACAGGAGACAGCACGTTCTATGTATTCGTTAACGGTGAGCGGCGGCGTCCGTGCCGCCCCTCGGCGCGGGCGGCTACGGTATCGGGTGCCCAGCTCTGCCCGCCGAGCGCCGCGGGGCAGCCCGGAGGAGGCCGGCGCTCGCAGCGCCGCCTGGCGGCCGCGCGCCGCGACCACGCCCCTGCCCAGCCGGAGTCTCGCGCGGCGCGGTCGGGGCGGCGGCGGCCGGCGGCAGAGGCCGCCGTCTAGTCCACGTCGTCGATGCCGGCCAGCTCCAGCTCGTACCCGTGGATGTCGTGGTCGTGGCCGGCGCCGTCCAGTCGCCGCTCCAGGTCCTTGATGCGTCGATCCTGCTCCTTGAAGTAGGTGTTCTCCTCTTCGTCCGGTTCGTCTTCCTCCTCCTGTTCCGGCACTGGGTCGTCACTGCCGGAGAGACGGCCCATGAGTGCTGCCGGTCGCCTATCTACTTTCTTATCAATCAATCTGCCTTTACCACCCTCCGCAGAGCTCAGGGCTGATTATGACACGAGACTAGCAATGATGCGCTTCAATTTGTACTGGTAGAAGAGCACGCTCGTGGTCAAAATGCGTGACAAGCAGCTAGGTTTTGTCTTAGCAGTGCGACACAGAGGAGGCGGGAAAATCGAGCGAAACTTCGGAACAGAACTACAAGACCAGATTTTTGGTCGGCAACTTACGCGATATCCTTGGCATCCCAGACTTTCAGCGCACCGTCGTTGCTGCCGGTGTAGAGCTTGCCGTCAATGTACTGGATGCAGTTGATGGCTGACTCGTGACCCATGTAAGTGCGCTTCAGCGCTCCAGACTTGGCGTCGAAGGCCCGCGCGTTCGTGTCGCCGCACCCGGTGAACACTGAAAAAGTGGCCTATCAGCTCGCAACACGGCAGTTTCCGTTACCGCTTTAGTGTGCCATTGAATACCTGTCAAACGGCCGGCGTGTGTGTAACGCCGCGCCTGCAAAAGCAAATAACATCTGAAGCAAGACGTGTGTGCGGAAGACAATTTTGTCCATTCGTTATACGTTTTCAGTTGCGTAACAAAATCGCATACAGTTATCTTTGCTCAATCCAATGTGATGTCCCTGAATCCGATCCCGCGAACAGAATTGTGGTCCCGAGGGGCCTGGCTCGCTCCCTGGCCTGCCTGCCTGGCTCGCTCCCTGGCTCGCTCCCTGGCCTGCCTGGTGTATTCGGCGCAAGATTGTCACACTGCTTCAGTGTAAAATATGACTGCATTTTTTCGCAATCCCAGAGCTGATAATGGTGATTTGCGGCTGATGATTTGCGGATGGTTTAATGATAATGATGATCTAGGGCGCTAGGCCCCAAACTGAACAGCTTGCTCCAGGCCGCCATCCCGGTCGCCAAAGACAGGGGCCTCACCAGCGCCATCGGCCACCTTGAGGCAAATGACCGAGTGCTTGTGCGTCTTGTACGTTCGCGTGCACTCCCCAAATGCGGTGACCCAGCAGCGGGCCGTGGTGTCGGCCGAGCCGCTGTACAGCAGCTTGTTCACCACCTGCATACACACGATCGACTGCGTGTGCCCCTCCATCGTCTGGAACGAACGGGCAGCCAGAGTCAGCTGAGGCCAAGTCGTCCATCTCTGGTTCAGCATGCATATTGCGATATGTGGTTTCTAGTGATTTACTGCTCATCAGAGAACATTGTTGACAAAGTCATTGCCTAGAAGCCTCGGTGACCAGATGTGTGAGTACATTTTTTTCCTTTTGAAGAGACCATAAGGAACTTTTAATACGCACTAGGGTGGGAGTTAAATTGACCCCCGAAGGTTTTTCCAGAATGGTTTTTGAACGACGCGGCGAAGCTCCGCCAAATTTGGCATAGCTGTAGAAAATTGAATAGCAGATCGTTTGACATAAAAAATTTAGATGTTCCTTGTACGGTCGCTGACCTATGACAGGTCAAAGTCAGGCCATGTTTCAGCGAGGGCAATTTCTAGACAATCGTCCAATCTGATACAATAACGGAGTGTTTGACGAAGCCATACATCTCTGAGACGCTTTCTTAGGCACTACAAATATTGGATGAGCAAATTACGTTGACCTAAGGTCAGGTATGAAGATCAGACCAAGGTTACAACTAACCTGATGTATTACTTTAGGACTTGCTGTATGGGATAGTTTGCGGTGCTCATTTCGAATTTATTGACGGCAGGAACCGCATTATACATCTTCCATTGACCTCTCAGAGGTCAGAAAAGGTCATTGACCTAAGATGACTCGGGTCCACATTTTGTTTTAGGAACATACTGCCTAGCGTAATCTTTGTCGCCTATTCAAATGCAAAACTCAGAGCAGTCTGGTATGATTTTGGTCACCATGACCTTGAAAGGGTCAAACAAGGTCACTGACCTCAAACGGGCTTTTGACCTTTTGCTTAGAAACAGCTTCCTAGGTTCTGGGGGCACCCTTGGAGGCCAACCTAGAATTTGACCTTGTTTGACCTCATTTGATCTGAAGATTATAACCTAGCGAGCTCAAACTTCGACTAAAGTGAGTTCACGTACAGGCCAAGACACCCTGCAAATTTAGTGTCTCTAGCTTTCTTAGTTCCCGAGATCTTAGGGGAGGGGAAGGGGTCAAATTGACCCATCACCCGAGCAAAGGGCATCTAGCCGGCCACCCGGGCGCGTGTTAAGTCATGTCATGTAAGACACTTCGTAAAGCGACTTGTATTTGAAGAACGGTGCGAGGATAGTAAGACTCATAATTCGGTTTAACCAATTCGCTTCTCAGGCAGCTCGTTATTTTCAGTACACATTGTTCAAGCATTCTGTTACGCCCCAGGGCGTTACAGACTGTGTATGTTATCCAGCGTTATTGGATAATGAACTGAAACCACTTCAAATAATCCCTCCCCCCCCCCCGCCGTGTAGAAGTCGGGTCTGCCAGGCGATATCGCTTGGAGTATAGCGCTGTGAGGTCCACATCACCAGCGCTGTGAGGTCCACATCAACACCCTCGGCCTGACTCGGCTCTGAGCTCGACGTCGCTAACTGTAAGCATCCAGAATGATTGCACCAGGGCTTACTCGGTGGCAGACGGCAGATGGGATGTCCCATATCCGGATGGTGCGATCGGGCCCGGCCGTGAAAAGGGTGCTGCCATCCCTGTCGGTGGCCATACACGACACGGGGGCCGTGTGGCCCCGGAACGTCTGTAACAGCGCGGAGTGCGTGGAGCGCCGGTCAACCCGGGGAGCAGCTCACAGAGGGAGACGGCACAGCGCTGGAGGGCAGGTCTGCATGACATATTGTTGGGGTGAGACCGTCTGAGAGCTACGGGGTTGATGAAGCGTGCTAATAACAGTACAATTGGCGGCACATAAAGATATCACAGTAATGACAACGTATGTATGTGCAAACCTAGGTGTACATTGCAGCGCCATCGAAGTCTACTGGCCAGTACAACGCAAAACAAAGCTTAGGGATGCCTAGCTCATGTTTATGACGGAAGGACATTTATTTAAAAGACACAGCCGCGTGGAAGAGCGAAATGGATGGATGCGATATGATGTGGGGAGGAAAATATTGCAACGCACGCAAATTGAACACAATAAGCTCGGTGACAGTGACTGGCAGGCTGTCATTGTTCAAGAACAAATTCACCCTGCTCATGTTTGTGTCATGGGAAGGGATGAATTTCGATACATATCATATACATATCTTCTCCGTACGACTTATTTTGCGCTACCACCGGCCGTCGCACAGTCGTTGCATAACTGCAAACCAAAGTAACATGGTATATATACATATATATATATATATATATATATATATATATATATATATATATCACTGATGCACCTTATGACTCAATAGACATGATCTGGCCCCTCAAATCGCACGCCATGTAGGCCTCCTGTAAAGTCAACAGACCTGCTGCTCTGACTTGCTCTCTGCTGGTCAACAGATCTGCTGCGTTGACCTGAGACCTGCTCTGCGACCAACAGCTGCCAGGTCGGTCAACAGAACCCACGGGCTGTCTTCCTGCAGCAGCCCCGCTTGCTCACCCTGAGGCAGGAGCCGGTCTCCGAGTCGAAGCTCCAGGACTTGGCCGTCTTGTCAGTGGAGCCCGTGATGAGCAGGTCCCCCGGCTTGATGGTGACCGTATCCGCGTCCTCTTCGTCCGCATCGACATCGTTCGCAGGCAGAAAGATGATAGGGTAGACGCCACCCCGGTGGCCCTGCGGTAACACCAATGCCACTCTATGTCACGTACATGTGGTGAAGCAGCCTGACCTCTGTACCTTCTCAGGAGGCGTGATACCTCTGTGGAAGCAAATGATACATAAATGCATCAATTACTTGGAAGGTTCGTCCACAGGCGAGGTACTACGTAAACGATTGCACGCGGCTGCTGATTCAGCTTGACCTTGAGTCACGTAATGTGAGTACAACAGCTGCTGCAGCGCACACATTTGTTCGCTTCATTTATGCCATCTTTGGATGCCTGCAACTGCCATGCAATGACACTTAAAAGGCCGCTTGAATACCGCGCAACCAAAAACATGATTGCACTGTATCATTTAAATCTCGAAAATGTGTCCTAAATGATACACATATTTCCCAAAAGCTGCCATCAATGCCACCGTTCCCGCCGTGCCAGGTATCGACAGGGCCTCTCCAAGTGTCTACTGTCCAGCCCCTGCATGCGAGAGAGCCTACCCTAAACACGCGGATGCAGGCCTTGCCCTGGCTGCCGTCCACGATGTCGCTGGTGTCGAACAGCCAAGCACACACCGTCTTGTCGTAAGACGAAGAAAAGATGAACTCCCCGGTGCAGATGAGCCGGCTGATGCGCGACTCGTGGCCTGCGGGGATGGGGAGGGGGAGGGGGAGGACAGGCCGGAGGTCAGCCGAACACATTACCGCACGTCACGCGTATTCACGGCTGGGCCTGTTTCGTAGGCTGAGCGTGCCATGACGCAACTGCGAGTTGAGGCCATGGGTGTCGAGCTGATCCACATATGTCATGATGAAAGTACGTCCTAGAATGAACTACAGATGACTTTGTCACCGAGCGCAGTATCGTTATGCATCAGCCACAATGAAATGGACGGACACCACACCCGGCGACATTCATGTCTCGTGTCGTAGAGACGGCTTAATTATGCTGGACAAGCTATCAGTGAGGCCCATCTACAAAAGCAGGACGACTCGCCACTCAGGTATACCGCACGCAAAGTGAAGGTTGCCTGGTGCCCTGTAGCTAACAGAGGAGAGCTCACGATCAACGTGTTTGGGGATTGAAGTTATTCCGATTTTTCGTCAGTTTTTTTTTCGTTGGGTTTGTTTGAGGTACTGCTGGTGATTTGACCGTTGTAAAATCCGTCTGTTCCAATGAGTGTGATTACCTCATCTTGATTTTTCTTGCCAGCTCTTTCGTTACATTGGTTTCATGTGGTGCTCTGATCGTGATTTTTCTCGCCAGGCCTTTTGTTACCTTGCGTTGATGTGATGCTAGTAATACCATCATGGGTAAACACGTCAGTTGCGTGAAGTCATTGCCGACGCGCTTGTGGCGTCACCTCACCTTCGTATGTGAAGAGGCACTCGCATGTGGTCATGTCCCATTTCCTGATGGTGGCGTCGGCCGAGCCGGTCAGGACGAACGTGTCTGACGACGCCACGCAAGTGATGTAGCTCGTGTGGCCTCTGCCGAACAGGAGCCATGTGTGCAGCTAGCACTCCAGCGCAGGCAACGCTCTCAGCCCTCGTGGCTGCTCAATAACCCAGCAGTGGTATCACGCTAAAAGCCAAATCAATAGCAACGACACGGTGGGGATGGGTTAGCGTAATATGTTAAGTTTGCAACAAACGACGGGGCCGACTTTCACAACGCTTCCGTAAATGCCAGCGGCGCGATGAGAAAGTACGATGAACTAGGGTCAGGAATCCCATCTTCACGTGTCTCCCTTAATCCACCATCGGCCCACAACGTCGAACACTCGAGCAAGTGCGACCTTGAACAAGCCGCGTCTAGCTAGCCTTTCCCGCAAGTAATCAGTCTGAGCTGTGGTGGGTCGCGTGCCTGACCGTGTTGCGTCCGTATAACGCAGGGTGCATAGGCTCGGGTACAGTGGTTCGACATGAAAAGTTCACGGAGACAACCAGATATAACTAGTTTATACCAGTTTATAACCAGAATCCAGTTTCTCTTCGGCCTCGGCCACCCTATTTGTAATGGGGGGGGGGGGGGGGGGACACGGCTCCCAAGGCTTCCACTGTAATTGCGTTACTAATGTATTCCCTGCGGCATATGTCTGCATTTGTAATTTCTTTGAAGTCCATGTTCGACATCGGCTCCCGAGTGCTACAGAATGAAGTAGATACCCAAGCTTTCACGGCTGTGTTTTTGCTGATAAGATCAGTGCTAAATTTTCATTTACAGAGCCCAGCCATGTGATTATTTCTTTGGACCTTGCTGCCACTACGCCCACCCAGTGATGTGCGCAGCAGACAAAGCCGGCGTGAGGTCCACTGCCTGGTCGATACTCGTATGCCCAGCAACCCGGTAGTGCATGCAAACACCGCACATGGACGACAGGCAAAAAAGAGCGCATTCCCCTAATATTCATGAAGCCCCATCTGTACACTGTTTTTTTTTGCAGTAAAAAACCCCATCCTATTACTATTTGAATGTATTTTGCCGCAATGATGCATTCAAGAACTCAATTGTCGTATTTTCGCTTAATAAAAGTCGCGGAAGTCATGAGACAAGTGCAAATCGATCTACAGCTGTTTGGTAATGCATAATACTGAGCCGTTGGATTCCATTCGACATGCACATCAGGTTTTTTAATTTCAGTTCAAGACTTGCGTAATACTACATGTCTTTCATAATGCCTTTCATTATGACCCGAAGTCATGACCTTGAAAATAGCTGATTGGCAGTGAATAGTCTGTTCCACCCATCAGTATGCCGCGTTTTCGATATAAAGGTAACATTCAAACAGCATCTATTACGACTTGTGTCCTGTTCTTTACAACGTGTCATACCAAGTCCAAAAGCCCATATCTGGTTGTGTTCATGTTTAACCAAAATCCATCGCTGCTTTTCTGAAAAAGTTTGGCGGATGGTTCGTAACATTCACATATTCATTTGATGCCAGAAGATAATGATAACCAGCTTTTGTCTGGCTTTGAATAGCACTGTTTGACGTGGAATGACAGCGTCCCAAAAAGCTGCGTGACGGGGACAGGGCAGAACGAAAGTTTGCGGAATCACACCCTTCTGTCCAAGCGTTGAAGTCACTAAAATAGTATAGCCGACAGCTCCATAGGCAACGACAGGCATGTAACCAACAGGTATACAGGCAGCGAAGGTGTATAACAAGTGATCTACGGTAGAAACGGTAGTAATAATGAGAAACACTAAAACGCTGTATTAGTAGTGGTCTTCCTGCCTTTCTTTGCACGTACCCGATAGCATGGAAGCACTCAGTGTATATGCTCACACAAGAATGCCAAGGGTCAGACGGTGCGTAGTCTCATCCGCTGACCCCAGAACGTTCACCTTGCGTTCGCTTAAGTAAAACGACATACTCCATTTCAACTCTATCAAGATTCGCATGCAAGTGAGGTCGCCGAATCATTCGGAATGCATCGATCCGGGAATCTCGATCTATCTTCTGTGAGCTCAATCGCGTGAGCCCAGACACTCGGCACGTACTTACTCGAGGACGCCCATGCGGTCGACGCGTACTAACTCGAGGACGCCCAGACACTGAGTGCGTACTCTCTCGAGGACGCCTATACAGTAGGGGCGTACTAACTCGAGGACGCCCAGACACTGAGTGCGTACTCTCTCGAGGACGCCCAGACACTGAGTGCGTACTCTCTCGAGGACGCCCAGACACTGAGTGCGTACTCTCTCGAGGACGCCTATACAGTAGGGCGTACTAACTCGAGGACGTCCAGACACTGAGTGCGTACTCACTCGAGGACGTCTACACACTGAGTGCGTACTCTCTCGAGGACGCCCAGACACTGAGTGCGTACTCACTCGAAGACGCTACACACTGAGTGCGTACTCTCTCGAGGACGCCCAGACACTGAGTGCGTACTCTCTCGAGGACGCCTATACAGTAGGGCGTACTAACTCGAGGACGCCCAGACACTGAGTGCGTACTCACTCGAGGACGTCACACACTGAGTGCGTACTCTCTCGAGGACGCCCAGACACTGAGTGCGTACTCACTCGAGACGCCTACACACTGAGTGCGTACTCTCTCGAGGACGCCTATACAGTAGGGGCGTACTAACTCGAGGACGCCCAGACACTGAGTGCGTACTCTCTCGAGGACGCCTATACAGTAGGGGCGTACTAACTCGAGGACGCCCAGACACTGAGTGCGTACTCTCTCGAGGACGCCCAGACACTGAGTGCGTACTCTCTCGAGGACGCCTATACAGTAGGCGCGTACTAACTCGAGGACGCCCAGACACTGAGTGCGTACTCACTCGAGGACGTCTATACAGTAGGCGCGTACTAACTCGAGGACGCCCAGACACTGAGTGCGTACTCACTCGAGGACGCCTATACAGTAGGCGCGTACTAACTCGAGGACGCCCAGACACTGAGTGCGTACTCACTCGGGGACGTCTACACACTGGGTGCGTACTCACTCGAGGACGTCCAGACACTGAGTGCGTGCTCACTCGAAGACACCCAGACACTCGGCGCGTACTCACTCGAGGACGCCCAGACACTCGGTGTCGTCTGTCTTGGTGCTCCACATGCGGGCGGTGCAGTCCTCGGAGCCCGTGATGAGCAGTGAGCCGTCCTCGCTGAGCGCCATGCAGTTGATGGCACCCTCATGGTCGGCTGCCGGCATGCCACGGTGCTGAGGCGAGCACTTCCCCCGGCACGCCACGGTGCTGAGCGCGAGCACTTGCCCTCAACACTGTCACTGTCTGTCGGGCCCGCTGGTACATATGTGTGTAAGCTGGAGATAAAGCTGACATAACACGTGGGGCGAATAGAGGTTGGGAATGCATAGCAATCATGGCCACAACAGGTAAGGCGGCAAAACATTTTTGGAGAAATTAAACAGACATCTAGTAATGTTTCCCTGCTAATGAAATGCATAGGATATCATTTCGACATTGGTGTGCGACTCGAAGAAAACTAGAAACTTGATGCATGAAGAGAAGCCTTAGCATTTTTTCCACGTAGTTTCGGTTTGGGATCAAATACATATCGTCTTATACAAAAGCCAGTCACCTCAACACTCCGTACATACATTAATATGTCATATTCACTTCAATGTAGGCACAAAAGAGCCGAACCTATGGATGGTATACACGGCTCATTGGTACCTTGGCATGCAATAATTCCAGCCTGCTGGCAGGAATGGTGTTCACGGATTAAGGGCTTTCTGCAGGACCCCATATGCAGCATTCGAAATGCAAAGAGCAGTTATTACCTGCATTTGTTTGGTATTGGACATGGCCCTGATATTTTCCACTGCACATGCAAATGAGGACCTTTGAAAATGTACAATTTTGCTTAGTTTTCCTGGCAGAGAATAAAAAACGGCCTGTCCTCGAGGTGTTTGGCTTCTATTTGTTTTGGCTGTGCGCATGCTGATAGAAGTGTTGTGGCGGTGCATGTACAAAACCACAGGTATCAGGTAGGACTAGGGCTGGCCGTCCGCCTTAGTCTGTGCTAAATAACCAAGAATATAACAGCACTGTTGACACTCACCTCCTGTGAGCGCACGGCAACAGAACAAATAGGATTACTATCACCCGACTGGTAGCAGTGGTAGCAGTAGCAGTGGTATCAATCCACCAGACGCCGTCTGGGCCCTAATCTACGCATGACGAGTGGTACAAAATGAACCGTACATATCGGAAAGAAAAAGTGCTCAGCTTGCTGTCAATCAATGTACAATTTTGTCGTGTTTCCGCCGTTTGTCTTCATAGGCCTGTCCAAATTGCGACATTCATGATTAAGACAAGTAATTAAAAAACGGCACCCCTTCAACGACACGCCACAAATGCTATTCTGCGCGTGCCGTGTATCTTACGTGCACCTGAAATTGACAGGCACTTTATGATATTATACGTGCGCCTGAAATTGACAGACACTTTATGAACTTTCTAAACATGAAACAGGACAAAATAATTTCCCTGATTATGCTTGAAACAAGCTTTTCGTTAGTGCATCTGCGCGCCTTTTTGAAGTTTGTAACGCTGCCCAATAGAAATGCACCACAAATTGAGCTTCATGGCTTTGTCAGGCCAAGAACAGCATTTCGCGACCTTTCAAAGCTCTGCTGATTTGCTTAACGTGGCCGCTGTTTCTCTGTCTGTAGCTATGCATATACGACAAACAGTTATGGAACACACGCTGCCACGTAACGGCTGACATTGTCAATTTATTCTGTTACTGCCTTTTTCAGTTCAGAGATCAGGTGACCTTAAGTCTGCCCGTGCAGTGATAAGTTATGGGGCTTAAGTCCACTCCACAGGTCATCACGCACGCCATCATACTAGATGCACGTTTCTTTTCACTACTTGTTTGTTTTCCTCCAAAAGGCAGCCTTTGTCGGCACTTTGATGACCTCGAGGGTAATCATCTCCTCTTCATCGTTTGATGCACGTCCTGATCAAACAAGGTCTGTCGCAGCCATTTTACTAACTGGCTAGCATGGATGACCAAATCACTCCGATGACTGTCGCAGCCATTTTACTAACTGGCTAGCATGGATGACCAAATCACTCCGATGACAACGTGAATGAGTCCCTAGATGTGAGACTTACCACTCTAGCTGTCATCATCTCATCGGTTTATTTGAACACGAAACTCGGCAACATTTGAAGACATATAATCCATGCTTTACCCCCAACCGGCACATACACAGCTGTAATTGTTTGAGTAAACAACGTGCAGAACATTGCAACAGTAGTGAAATACAACAACCAATAATGAAGCACTTACCTCCTGGGAGTTTGCAGCAAGAAATGGGGCACAGTTACATTCAACATCGTTGAGTGTCTGAGTAAGACCAAATCACTGATCACATAAGCTCTAGCGTTATAACCGGAAGAAAGAGCTCGGGCTTTTGAGTATTTCATTTAGTTATTGTATGGTGCACACGTCATCATCTTCCACGTATTTTTGTGGACATTTTTTTAAGTGTGAAAGTTTATTATGTGTGATAATTAAAAAAATGTTGATACAATTGTTCAAGTGATAAGATAAGGGATGCAATCTTTTGAGGTGTGAAAATATTGATATATTTAAACACGGCATACGCACACGGAACAACTGAAGCAGCCTAACGCATATCACCAACCACGAAATAAACAGCAGCCATGCTTATGGTAGCCATTAAGTATACTCGAAGAAACGCATACCAGACACAATTCCCTAGCAAAAGAAAAACTGACAGTTTTTTAGCCTGCTGAACCGCTCGCATATTTGCCGGCATTGCCAGGGAGCTGCCCACTTTTGAATATCAAAACTTCCCAAACGCAGCGTTTGAGAGGGCACACATTTGTATCTTAGGGGCGCCATCAGCATACCACTAGACTTAGCAGAGCGATGATAGACCACAGTCACACGAAGCCAAGCCAAAATATCTAAATATAAAAATATACAAATATTTTGTCTAAACATATCGAAGACGAGTTTTCGGCGCTGGATCTTCTTCAGGTCTACGCCCTGACAAAATGACTGTTAAACACTTTATTCGCGCGCTAAAGAAGCATGCAGCCTAGCGATATGGAAAGCCGCCGAAAAAGCTCATTATACTAATGATAATATGGAACGCTGGCTATTAGATACATGAATACCGTACACACACAATATTTGCCCACGTGCATGTCCCACATAACCCTTACATACTACTTACATCTCACATCTGACATGCTGATTTTTCACTCATACATCTTTATTAATCCAGGCTCTCGTCGATGGTGTTATTGCAACACACACATAAAGTCATCAGGTATAATCAATACATTTCACTCAATCATAATCCGCTGATCAGTGCGCAGTCCAAAAAAGCAAATTATCGCTCGACGCATTGCTGAATGCACTCGTGGTTATGCTTGGTGTGACCCATATGATACTGGTGCGATAATTTTCCTTGAAGATGTTTGAAAGCTCGGTACCGGCTTCCTATGTAGAACACGCCAAGACTGTGTGGAGGAACTGGGGTTGAGGCTCGGTGAATATTTCAGACTGCTTACTGACCAGCGGATCGTGTGTGAGCGAACCGTATTGGTTAAAGTTGACTTGCTTGGGTTTGCATGCTGCGATGAAGCCAACGACGAGCACCTGAAGTAATGAAGATGATGTGTGGAAATGAACATTTAAGACGTTTGTGTGAAAAAAGTTGTGTAAGATAAATGTTTGGAAAATGTGATGGATTTGAGCTACGCATGTATCCAATAGCCGGTGTGTCTCATTGCTATTTGTATAATGATCTTTGTCGGTGACTACCCATGCCGACAAGGGTGCATGTTGCTTGAGCACGCGAATGTAATGTTTGACAGTTGTTTTGCAATAACTCAGACCCGAGGAAGGTTTAGCGCCAAAAGCACGTTTCGGATATTTCTAGATAACGTTAGATATCATGAGACTGGGATTTAGCAGGACCCTGCTATGCTAACTCCGAGTCTCACGCCGTCACGAGTCTCCAGCCAGCACTCCGCTGTGTATGACTAGACTTAAGATTTATGACATTAGATGTTAGATGACAAGTGTTTGAACTTTAGATGTTCGCTGGTGAATCGTGCCTTTGAGTGCTTTCTGGTGGTTTCTCCAAACAACACTCCAGCAAATGGTAAAAATGTGTATTTTAGCGTCTGAGAGCAGGCTTTTAAAAAGCCCACATGACATGGAACCTTCTCATGGCGTCATTGCAGCTGTCGGCTGAGTGCCTTTTAGGCATCGTTGTGACAGAATAAATATAGCAGAAGAGTTTTAGCTCCGAAGTTGTCTCAACGGTATAATGACCCAATGAGTAAAACAGGCTTCGCCCTAAGACTATACCACCCCAAAAAAGTTGGCAAAACAGGTTTCCAAACCTTCGATGCTTAAATCGGAAACTGCGGGGGCACGACGCCATCATACATTTGCTGGTGATGAAGCAATTATTGGTGATCTTCGGACTCAAAGCATCGGGGTCTACTAAACAAATAAGCCAACAACATTCAATCTCCCAGATGTTGGTGGAAACGTGACGTACTGTTTGGTTGCAGCTCGCCTACATATCACTGGCTCGCTGAGTTTTGCGTTTATCCAGTGTAAAATTTACTACGGCTAAACGATCATCAGACACATTTGACGGCGTACAGGTGGGTCAGAGGTTCGACTGTATGTGACATATTTTGGGATGGGAAGCTTACCTAGGGACTCCTTTTCATAAATACTCTTCCCATCTTTATCGGTTTCTTTAGACGATCTACATCCCATGCTCGTACGTTCCCTGGTCGTCAGGAAAGCCTGGAACATCACATCATCATCAGAAGCCTGCAACATCACTGTCAAATTTCACTCACCAGTGACATGTAGCGGTTGTACCTCGCACATTCTGCTTCCTCAAAGCCAGGAATGTAGTTTCATGTTCGGTTGGGCGTGGCTTCGGCCTCCTCAATCTGGGCTTCAGCCTCCCCCCCCCCCCCCCCCCAACGTCGGGGAGGAAGTGAAAGAAATCCGGAGGGAACCCTGTTTGGCAGCATATTGAGGGGTCAGGCTGGGCAACTCTTCACTTTTCAGCCCCGAACTCATTTTGCGAAACTACGCTGCCGATTTATTCCTTACAGTCGTTTGGCCGCCCAAAGGCAGCCAAAGGTATGAGGCAACTTGGAGCACCGTATTGCGGTATAGTATATCACTGCATGCAGATGTACCTATGCCATCTAGTGGATAAAAGCATAAGCTTAGCTTGTAGCACCCAACGACACAAAAGTGAAAAGCTCTTGGTATGCACCACCGCAGAAACCAAATAAACACTGGATGTGGTGAAGGCGGTTGAGGGTGTCGGGGACGCATGCTGACGGGATAAGTCTTACGGAAACTTCATTAGTGCACTGTTTACGCGCGTCATTAAGCTACCTGGCGTTTAGGCTGGTGAGTTATTGCTTTGGCATCTTCGATGTCACGATTTATGGCCTGGATATTTTGTATTGTACTGGATTTGATCGCATTTCATTTTCGTCACGCCCCGGCGCGCAACCATGATCCCGTTTTTTGTGAAGGGGGAAGGGGCGGGGGGGGGGGGCAGTGCTGTGATCTCCCCCATCTCTTCTGGTCCGTTGTTAAAGTTGGCTTTTGCGTGTTTACAGTTTTTCATGACCAATACCAATAGAAGACCACAACGCCAATACAAAGGTGACGTTTAACCCTCGCTCTGCGAGAAGAAGGGATGGGAGCTAAAAGTCCACCTCCTAACGGAATAATATCAGAACGGTTTTGTGCACGGCGCTGAAATTTCGGGTGTTTAAGCTCACATTGCTTTTTGCGCATGTTGCGAAATTTTGGAGCTTTTTACCTGGGTAGCTCATGTTTTATGACCTTTATTGAGGTCTTGGCATTGACATTTTGCTTAAAGACTACAAACATCGCTTACGTCTCGTTGAAACTGCACTTTAAAAATGCTTTCTGGATTGCTTTTTTCATCTAAGTCATTGGAGCGCGCTACTATCCTACTGGTATCTTGAAAGGTGAGGTCACCAAAAGCCAGACCAGGTCAAACTTCGACCCCTTTCACTTGATTTGGCGCTGAACGTCGTGCGATTTCAACCTTAACCAAGCATACATTACATTCCGATAAGGCGTCTCCTAACCCTGTTCTCTCCATAGATAAGACTTCAGTTCTTGATAGGCGCTTATGCTAATGTAACAATCTCATTCATCCCTTTGACGCGATCATGGCATACGGCAGGTCAAATGTATCGGTGTCCACTTGGTTATCTGACAGTCTTCCAAGAACATTTTGTCGTATTCCGCATTATAACATGATTACTCCCTGAAGTGACAGGAGCGGCTTATAAAAGGCTGATTTGACTACTTTGACGTGGTTTGACATATGAAGAGTCACATTTACCATAGGTCAGACACGCCCATGTGATGCAGTTTGGAGAGCATTCCAATGCCATTTTCTGCGTAGCTCTAGCATCCTCGATTTTCGAGACCTTACGCGGGGCAGAGGGGGGGGGGGGGGGGGGGGGGTACTTAGCTCCCTCCCTCCCTTCCTCATAATGACAGGACGAACGTGAACCAAATTCCTGAATGCGATGGTTCAACCCAGTGTGAACGCAACGTTATGAAAAAGGAACAATCGGGAAAGCTTTAAGCTGATAATGTTTCGCAGCTGCAAAAATTATGACTCATAACTCCCCTCCAAGACAAACATTTAGCCGCTTGATTTGCGTTCCTTGTAACATAGTTTTCACCGAAGGCTTTTCCCCCGTTAAGTTTTGCGGCTGTGCGGTGCAATAAAGAGTTCCGTTTATGCGTTTCAATACACGTCACAGTTTAAGCATATTTTTCTCATTAGAATCCTGACACTAAAATTAAAATTATTAGCTTAGAGCCTGAAGGAATCTACAACCGTGACCAAATGATCAGCGAAGTACAGTTATGCATCTCATATTCATGTTTAGCATCAGTGCGCACCCATTTTTCAATGGCTCCCTAGCCTCCCCGCGGACTACTGACTTGCCAAGTGATCGACGGTTGACCGGAAATCAGTCTTGGCCGATTTTTTTTTGACCTCCCACGCATCGACCTTATTTGGCCGATCGCCAAAGAACCGCCAATAAATTGGAGTTTATTCGTGTACTCTGACATCAAAAATATAGGGGTGTAGGATTCTGTGACACGGCATCAAGTGGCCTGACTGTTTTTTCTGGTCTGCTGACAATCACGCGGTTCGAAGCTATGCGTCTGAAGAAAGAGAATCGGACCATTCAGTCACGCATCATTTGACGACGTGCTGCCTAATTTGAGGATTGATGAGTAGAGTAGCCAAGTGTAATGACAAACCTGAATCGAGTGGTAGAGTCCATCGAAAATCATGTCAATCAATCAAACCAATCATCAAAATAATCCCATGTATTGTTATCTTAGTTTTAAGATTTGGAACGACCCAGCAAATCGCCTGTGGAATCCATTGGTGGATGCTCCGTATAGATTTATGGGATGATGTCGGACATTACCCCAAAATGCTATCCTGTACTTTTCACTGTTAAGGGCTTCTTGACCAATTTGAAGGGATTTCGGAGTGTGCGGTCGTGAACATCTTTCGGATTTGTGATTTAATGATCTCGCGCTTGGGCATATTCACTTTCCACGAATTAGATCAATCTATAGCTGCTGGAAAAAGATACGAACTCGACTGCGTTAGACTGGACATTTTCAAAAGATATCGACTAAGAGCTGAGTTGTATTTTCTGTTTACTACCCACTTTTCACCATCGTTTCGGGAGGGGGCAGGGCGAAACTATAGCAGCAAACAACCGTGCCGACACGTCTCGGAATTAGAGGATCTCGTTATGATATGTAAGGCTTAAGAACAGCTTTTGACGGACAGTTTGTCCAATAGTGCACTGCTTCTTGGCCACGTGTGACAACTATGACTGCAGTGAACTCGCGCCTGCCAAGGGAAGTCTTGACTCGTTGCAATGGCAGATATGGTCGCCTGGCTCATGTCTTGGAACGAGGAAATCGGCTGTCGGGGTATCAGGCTGGTGAAAAAATGAATCCCGAGGCATGCGTGACACGCAGGTCGTAAACCAATCACTCCGGGTGCAATGATGCCCTGCAGCAGCGCACCAATTTACACCTCTGACCGCACACAGCAGGCGCCAGTCTGTCCACACTTGCCGCCCCACCATCGCCCCCGACCCGGGCGTGGACCCCCATCCTGCAGCCACACGGCCCCCACACTCACGCCGCATGAGCCAGATGGCGTCGACGGCCGGCCGGCACTCACATGCTCGCGCGCGGCGCAGCCTGTCGCGGCACGTAGGACCCGCCGCCGCGGCAGAGTCTGGCGCGCCGTCGCCTGCCGCCGCTGGCCGACCGCAGCAGCCGCTGCCACCGCCACCGCCATGGTGACCAGTCAACAGCGGCAGGTCGATGCCGCACCGGCCGCGCCGTGCCCCTGAGAATGACCGGCCGTGAAATAATTAGGCGGCGCGGCCGTTAGCGGGGCAGCCTGGCTGCTGCGGCGGGCTGGGCATGTGCCGCTGACCCGGCCGCCACGCTGGCTTGAGTGGGCCAGATTTGGGGCTGAGGTGACAATCAGCACGGAAATAACCGCGACCAGGCGGAGGTATCCTGGCATGGCGTCCGTCTGAAATGTACATCGGTACTTAATATAAGAAAGGCCTGCAGCTCCTAAGATTTTTCGGCACGAGTTCGGCGTTCTTATGCAGGTTATCAACCTTCAGGATACCAGGAGATACTGGCTAAACGACGTCAGAGTGCAAACATGGATGCGTCACAGACACCTTTCAGATACATATCGTCCACTGATCTTTCGCCAGACATCGGTGGATGATTTTGTATAAAATTAAAAGAAGCATTTAACGTATCCATGTTGCTAGCATACTGATATGCCAAGTCATTCATGCTGGCACCTTGTCAAAAACCCGACAAATTCTTTTGATCTCGAAACAAAAAAGGGCTTGTTTTTGTGACTGTGAAAAGAGGCCTATACGGGTGAAGTGGCAATCACGAAACATCTGCGTAGTTTTTGGTGCAATTTTTCGGTATTATGTATATACGGTATATATACGGGTATTATGTATCACTAATCGTTAACGTGTGTAGTGATGCTCAGCAACGCAATTCACTGTATTTTAACCTTAAATCTGAATTGTTCCGAGGTCAGCATGAGCTCAAAGCTGTTATGATGAGTAGACCATCGTCACTATTTCAGTGGACGCCGGCTAAACAACGCCGTAATGCTAAACAACGATAGTTTTGGATGTGCTCAGTATTTTGACCTGTGCTTATCATCAGGGGCGATATAGTATGACGTCACGTAAACAATACCTCATAGTCACTGAAGGTCGCCAATTCAACTTAAGAACTTTGAACCCGTAATGCCGAAGGACCAGGGAATGAAGGCCATTCTTTCTTGTACCAAATTTTGAATCCTTTGATACCCGTCCCCAGGTGATCTTTGTCCGACTTTGAATGCCACAGTGAACGCAAGTTAACTTCATTCACAAGTAGCACCAACATGTTAACTGCTTTCAGAAAACCTGCTTCTGACAGCGTGCTAACATTCAGGACTTCCTTATCAAGGGGATCCGATATATGATAATGCTAGGAGACTTCATGCTTTGTCTAGCTCGCAAACACCAGATGACGTATGACAGAAGTGTGTCCGTTTTTACTTCCGGGCTGGTTGTGAATTCCAATCTATCGCTATGCGACGTTGCCGGCCTGGGTAAACATAATAAATGCGCGCTCAAATGCCCAGCAAAGCGTGCTGGCAATCAGCCGTTATGGATTATATTTCCAAGGCTAGAATTAGGCCGTTCTCTAACCTTCACTGGGACACACATGGCTTCGACCGCCCTATTTACCAACGGTTCTGACCTGCATGCTGCTGCCATCATTTGCAGCGGTTTTGAATAATAATTTGGGAGGGATAATTCGCATTGCTGCGTTGTGAGCTATCGCTTTGCCATGGAGGTCACGGTTAGTTTCCCCGTGGACACAGTTGATTTCCTCTTACGCCCGCCCCCCAACGTAAGGTGCCGTCACTACTTCTGTCCTGCCACATGAATTGACGGCGTTCCGGTGGTCCGCGGCTGGATCTCATTAGCTAAGCCCCATGAGAGACTAGTGCAAGCTATGCAAACATATCTAAAAGTGGCCACACGCAAAAGTAAACAGGGGGGGGGGGGGGAGGATTTGTTCTGGACTGGGAGGTCAGAGGCGCTTTGAAGTTTTTTTCATGCACTTCCGTGAGCCTAGTTTCAACATTTTCCCAAATGTTTGGCGGCGGGGGGGGGGGGGGACCCAAGCCCTCAAAGCACAGCCACACACAACTCGATAATTCCCGAGCCTGGGGGCCGGCATTGGTAGCCGTAGTGCTGAGCTGGACGGGTGTTGCTGGTCTGACGTCAAGGTCGCAGTCGGTAGCGTGTGTTTGACATTGAACTGTGGCGCCGTCGTAATTGTTCCGTGTGCAAGTGCATACTTCGCTCACCAGGCCCATGGTTCTATTGGTCGGTTCGTAGGCCGACACGTGGCCTACACGCGAATGACACGCGTTTTTGAATAATTATTTGCGCAACTGCGTTGATCTGGTTAGGTCGACCGGGGGAATTGTATGGATCTAAAAGGCTCTACAAAGTGGTGTAACCTACTTTATGCCAGTCTTTGCGATTGGTGTCTTGTATACCGTATGTGGGGGGTAGCTCTGGAGGTGGCCGCAGGCGGCGTACTGACGTGTCGTCCATGAGGACTTCAGTGCTTCTCTTGGCGGCTGCTGGGCACGGTCTGCCAAGTAAAGCAATTCTGGAGCAACAAGCACATCTGTTGTGGTGACCTTTCCACGCCATCTGTACTGCCATGACTCGGCCGCCCCATTTTGAGGGTGGCCGGCTGTGTCGGTCAGCTGACTGCTAAATGCTGACTGGCCGTTGTAGGCCAGTCGCAGAAGCGCGGTCTGTGGGCTGCGGACCCACATCCGCGTCCCACCCCAGTCGAGGCGTCCGGCGTCCCGCCAAGCGGGCCAACACCCCTCAATGCTGTCACTGTGTCCAACGGAACCTGGGCCGAACGGAACCGAACGAACACCACAAAGGGTAACAGACGGAGCCTTTGAAATCGGCTGCTGGTGGGCAAGAGCAGAAAATTCCGAATGCATGGTACTTGATGCTCACTGAGGCCACAGTCACAGGATAAGACATATATCACGTAATGAAGTGAAAAGACGCGGTACCATGCTACCAGGAATATCAGTAGGTCAACATTGATTGTCCTGGAGTGTTAATGAAGCTGGAAGCGCCGCAGCTGCCGTTACCGGGAAATGTTGGCCTGCACTGAGCATATTGCAAGCCCGGTACCACCAACAGCGCCAGCCAAATGCCGCCACTTGGGAGCCGGATCCCGGCTGTCACATAAGGCGCCAACACATGCGCGTATGCGCACACGTATAGGCCAGCGTCGGCGTGAGGACAGCACTAGTCTCTGGGAATGTTTTGCATCTCTAGCGCAATCGAAATAGGGCTTGGTGTCACTCTGTTTGGCCTGTGCGCTGCCACTGTGAAAGCTAAGAGCCCCATAGTTGCCAAGCGTGGCTGTGTCGGATAGGGTCCTGCTGGGAGAGCAGGGTGCTGCACATGTCGGTGTGTCATGCATCGGACACAGACAGTGTGGCTGTGTCGGATAGGGTCCTGCTGGGAGAGCAGAGTGCTGCACATGTTGGTGTGTCTGTTACCAGACAAAGACGGTGTGGCTGTGTCGGATAGGGTCCTGCTGGGAGAGCGGAGTGCTGCACATGTCGGTGTGTCAGGCATCAGACACAGACAGTGTGGCTGTGTCGGATTGGGTGCTGCTGGGAAAGCAGAGTGCTGCACATGTTGGTGTGTCTGGCATCAGACACAGACAGCGTGGAGCCAAGCATCAGACACTGATAGCGTGGAGCCAAGCATCAGAGACAGACAGCGTGGAGCCATGCATTAGACACTGATAGCGTGGAGCCAAGCCGATCGGCCGTATCTATGACGCTGTCCCAATACCGTGTTTGCTGACCTCGTTATGCTGAGACGGTCCGTCGCTCTCAAGACCTCTCCGGGCGCCCTGGCCCCCGCATTAACCTGGGACGATGCGTAGCAGGCCAAACTTGGCCTGATGTCTCGACTCTCACTAACCTTAGGCGGTCCCCGACAGCCCGCACCCGGCTATGGAGAAGAATGAGGAGGCGGCCGACGGCGGCGGGCCCGGCTCGCCCGGCTCCGTGCTGGGCCGGCTGCAGACGCGGTTCCAGCAGTCGGCGGAGGACCTGCTGACGGAGCGGGTCAGTCGCCAGACGGGGCAGGGCGGGTGCTGGCCCGGGACAGATCAGGGGTCAGTCGCCAGACGGGGCAGGGGTGCTGTCGCCCCGGGCCAGATCAGGGGGCCAGTCGCCAGACGGGGCAGGGCTGCTGTCACTCCGGGCCAGATCAGGGGCCAGTCGCCAGACGGGGCAGGGCTGCTGTCACTCCGGGCCAGATCAGGGGCCAGTCGCCAGACGGGGCAGGGCTGCTGTCACTCCGGGCCAGATCAGGGGCCAGTCGCCAGACGGGGCAGGGCTGCTGTCCCCGGGCCAGATCAGGGGTCAGTCGCCAGACGGGGCAGGGCTGCTGTCCCCGGGCCAGATCAGGGCCAGTCGCCAGACGGGGCAGGGCTGCTGTCGCCCGGGCCAGATCAGGGGTCAGTCGCCAAACCGGGTGGGGCTGATGCCGCCCCGGGCCAGATCAGGGGGCCAGTCGCCAGACGAGGCAGGGCTGCTGTCACTCCGGGCCAGATCAGGGGCCAGTCGCCAGACGGGGCAGGGCTGCTGTCACTCCGGGCCAGATCAGGGGCCAGTCGCCAAACCGGGCGGGGCTGATGCCGCCCCGGGCCAGATCACGGCCCGCCTAGAACCCGGCCGCCGGGGGTCAGGGAATGCGGAAATCCGTACGTCTTTTCGGTGCTGTGCTGGCAGACACAGAGAGGGGGCTGAAGGTTGTAGCATGTTGGTCGTGATGTCGAAGAGCACCAGCCACTGATCGTCGCCTTGGCAGCGGATAGTTAGTTCCGCCGCGCCCTTGTGTTGTGTTAGTGATGCAGTGTCGCTACCGTTTGGGATCATCACTAATTCAAGCGGGAATCTATTTTGGGCGACAGGAGCACAACGCGGACCTGGAAAAGCGTATCAAGAGCCTTACAGAGCATGTACTGGCTGCTAACGAGGAGAAAGAAAACATAAAGGTACGCCAACTGCTTGGTGTCGGTGGCTTAACACGCGCGCGGGTGGCCGGCTAGATGCCCTTCGCTTGGGTGGGGGTCAATTTGACCCTCCTGAGATCTCAGAAACTAAGAGAGCTAGAGGCGCCAAATTTACAGGGTGTCCTGACCTGCACGTGAACCCACGTAGGTCAAAAGTTTGAGCTCCCTAAGTCATGACCTTTAGGTCAAATATGGTCAAACGAGGTCAAATACTGGGTTGGTCTCCAAAGTGCCCTAGAACATAGGCAACTGTTTCTAAGCGAAAGGTGAAAAGCCCATTTGAGTTCAGTGACCTTGTTTGACTTTTCGAAGATCATGGTTACCAAAATCATACGAGACTGCTCTGAGTTTTGCATTTGAATAAGCGACAAACATTACGCTAGGCAGCGTGTTCCTAAAACAAATTGTCGACCCGGGTCATCTTAGGTCAATGACCTTTTCTGACCTCTTAGAAGTCAATGGAAGGTGTAAAATGTGGTTCCTGCGGTCAATAAATTCGAAATGAGTACCACAAACTATCCCATATAGCAAGCCCTAGAGTACTAAATCAGGCTGGGTGTGACCTTGGTCTGACCTTCATGCCCGATTTTAGGTCAACGTAACTTGCTCATTCAATATTTATGGTGCCTAAGAAAGCATCTCAGAGATGTATGGCTCCGTCAAACACTCCGTTATTGTATCAGGTTGGACGGTTCCCTAGAAGTTGCCTTCGCTGAAACCATAGCCTGACTTTGACCTGCCATAGGTCAACGACCTTACAAGATACATCTAAATTTTTGATGTCAAACGAGCCGCTATTCAATTGTCTACAACTGTGCAAAATTTGGCGCGGCAGCGCCGCGCCGTTCGGAGACCATTCTGGAAAAACCTTCGGGGGGGGGACAATTTGCCCCCCCCCCCACCCGGGCGCGTGCTAACCAAGCTTTTCACTGGGTGACCCCCGTTATTGAATTATATGCCACCGTGAAACTTTACAAACGGGTATGGGACCGAGTGTGGCTGTGCTGTATTGATTTCGTACCCATGGTATTGTGAAACGTGAAACCTAGTGAATGCGTTCCTTTTAAAGACCAGCCGGACTCGGGTCCACATCTTCCAGAAAACAACACACTAGTGACCTCTGTATCATACTCAAGTGAAAATGCATGTAGTCATGTTTGGTAAACTGTTAAGTGCATTTGTGAGGAACATTATGCATAAAGAGGAGGCAATCTTAATGTCCTTATTTCTTGTGGGATGAACTGGAACAAGAAACAATGCACATTCGTTTCCATAAATGCATGTAGCTGAAATATCACGCGTATCTCTCCATTCCCCCGCTTGTTCTTCGAGGAATAGGTATATCAATGCTGTTTATAATCATGCTTGGACTTCACAGCTCAGGATATTTTGTGTTCGGACTCGTGTTCGAATTGAAACAAAAAATGCGTCAAGTTTGATCAGATTGCAACCACCTGAGTAGTATGGGCCCTTGGTCCTGTGTATGTATGGGCCTCAAGTATGTATGTATGGGCCTCAAGTATGTATGTAGTATGGGCCTCAAGAGCCAATGCTCAGGTGTTTTTACAGCCAGGTGACTGAACATATGCCGAACTGAGCGAAACAAGTTTATAATTTAGAATCGGAACGAACATCCTATGCCTTGATCAATGGCCCTCCGCCCCTGAACCGAGACTCCGGTTCAAGTGCCGAATGCCAACGACTCATGAATCGGAGCTCGGCTTCATGTGGCTCATAATGGAAAGGACAAAATCTGACTATGCCTGTCTCAGGCATACCCGCATCTACCCGCCGCAAACACCGATGTGCCTTCCTAGCGTGCGCCGCCCCACCTGCTTTATCACACATCGGCCATTGAGCGGCGGCCGGCCGGCGGCGACGCGCCGACCGCCTGTGGCCTCGTGAATGGCCGCTGCCCCGGGCGGCTGTCCGGCCGTGCACATCAGCCGGGGTGTTGTGGGTCCGTCGTCCGGACAGCGGCGGGTGCGGCTGTCCAGGCCGAACACCCCAGCGGCCCGCCGCCGCAGCCACCGCTTGCCGTTGTCCACCGGTGTCAAACGCACCGCACCGTGCCTCATCTGAGTGCCCGCGAGGAATGTATTGATCCGCGACGCGACGCTGCCGAGCGGCGATGCGTCTGCATGTCTGTCTACCTGTGTGGAGCGTGCACGCTGGCGCTGGCCGTGTCAGCGTGGAAGACCTCACAATGTCGTAAGTGGTATTCGAGGGGGAGGGGCAGCCGGGGCAGGTGAACTGGGCACTGGTATCATTGAGCTTTAGTTTTCTGGGCGGCTGTCGAGCCCCGGTACCATTGGTGTGGCGCTTGAGGTCACATAGGCGTATGTTGCGAGACTCATTGGGACATTGTCGTGCCGCTTTTCTGAACATATGTGGTACTTTATCTGATATCGTGAACCTCTGCCAGAACGCTCTTCTGTTCCGTGCTGAAACAGCGCGTCGGATGTCGGTGAAAACACTATCATTATTGCCATTGGGGGTTTGTGTGGTCGTAATAAAAGTAACGCCATCGCGTACGTGCCTCGAAGAAAGCCCATGGTAAAGCTGATAGCTTACAGAACTGTTGCTACGTAAGCAACCGAAGATGGGACAGTTTTGCGTGAAGTCGTAAGCGGCAGACCGATCATTACCACTGGCCGCGGTGAGACCTTGGGTCCGCGCAACTGAACCAGTCACGTACCTCTGAGGCCGGCCGTACAGCGAGCAGCCGCGACGGCGCGTTCGGAGCTCACCCGCACTTCAGTCGGCACCCAGGCCAATCAGCGTGCGCCGGCCACACAGCTGTGCCGCAGGCGGGCAGCAGGCCGGCGGACCCGACTGCGCGAGGCCAGCAGACGCCGCCTCTGTCGTGGAGGGACTCTGTAGTGGCTCAACGGTCTAGACATTGATCCATGTTTACCGACATAAACGCCCGGCCAGGCGAAGCGCTCGATGCTGCACTGTCGGTAGCGAAGGATAGCAAAAACTAACGATGTGTTTGTTGGTTGCGGCTCTGTGCCCGTGCCGAAGACTAGCGTCCCAGTTTGTTTGACGGCACTCGTTTGCGACTGCGGCGTGACGCGTGGCAGGTGGAGCAGCGGGCGGCCCTGACGCGGCTGGAGGAGGCGGCTCTGGCCGAGCGGCGCCGTCTCGAGAGCGCCCTGTGTTCGGCCCGCCAGCAACAGCAGCGTGGCCAGATGGACCTGGAGCTGGCCACCGAGGAGCTGGCTGCGCTGCGTGGCCAGGTCAAGTCACTGCAGGTCAGTGCCGCCGACGTGGCGCGGTCACGGGCGCAGAGCGGGCGGCGGGCCCGCGCTCCTGTCCCGCGGGACGCTGGAGTGACGCTGAGTACCTGTGCGCCTCGGCCGATCTTCACGTGGCCAAGGTCCCGCCACGCAAGTATAGCGTGGATCGAGTTTAATGTGTTTGGGTTCAGGTGCGGTAGTGGATTAGCCTTGTCTTGGAAGGTCTGCTGGCTGTGATACTCTGGTCCCTGTGCGGCGTGGGGAAAGTACGTTTCCTCCGCGCTTCTGGGCATTTAAAGCCGCAGGTATGGGTTACAACAGCAATCGCCGTTGCAAACGTAATGAGAATAGTGCTCCAGGTCCAGGTGCAAGCGTCCTCCCAAGCACTGCAAGCGGCTCCACGACGTGAATGAACGGGACATTAGGCACATGATCAAATTTATGGAGTAATCATTTAACTGATATGTGAATGATAAAAACGATTTGAGACAATCATTAACAGTGTGTTGTAGTTCAAGGCCGGTGGCACAGGTGGCAGTCTCTGCTTCCCGGTCTATGACTGGTGCACTGATGGCTCCGACAGTGTTGAGACTGCACAAAAATATCAGTCCTAAAAGAAACGCCCGGAAACGGATGGGCTTCCAGCCTGCGCACGATTGCGCGTAATAGTTTGCACACACCGACCTGCACTTTTGCCGGCATCCCTGTGTGTTTTCCCCTCCGTCAGTTCTAATTGGCCTCACGTCGCTGGGCCAATATCTGGACCCATCTCTCATCCGCGCTCCTCAGCTTGTTCACGATGAGGTTGATCGAACGGGGAGGTGAGATGCTGGCGACATGACAACATGGCAGAAATGGTCTGCAAGGATATAAGCCCGTCAAAGGCTGGCTGCCGGGCGGCCAGGCCGCTGCAGCTGCAGCACGTATTTTGTCCAGACCCGCTCGGCATGCGGCCTCGCCCGCCCTAACTGTGAGGACTTAACGCGCCAAGAAGACGAGTGCGAGCACCATGTCCTGATATGGGTCTTGTCAGCATCATGGAGGAGAGGCGTCATCATACACCGCTAGTGACGATAGCAATTTTTGGAGACCCTAGGCCACCTGGTTACACCAGGCGTGGCCTGAGCTTGAAAGACGCCAGCGGAGCCGTTATGCGTTGACGTCTAATAGCCCGGGGGGCGCTGCGCGCGCCACTAACATCCCGAATAGGGGAGGGAGGGAAGGCGGCAGCAATGACAGCAAATGGCGTTGCTGATGCTTTTCGTTATCGTAAACTCAGTATCTACTTCGTAAAGAGTGGCATACCATCACGCGTACATCTGGTCCACATCTCACACTCACAGCTGGAAATTGGGCCTGTGATACTCCCACTCCACATCGTGGTTAGTTTCGCGGGAATAAATATTCTTTAATTGTGCCTGATTCGGACCTTAAATGCAATCCTCTGGCATTACTTATCGCACAAACTCACTGCCGCACGGCCTCGCGCGCACCGGCCTCCCGGTTGGCGTCGTGTCTCGGATGAGTGACGGGTGACGCCAGACCGTGGTGACGTCACTCGGCTCCCTTGCTGGCAGCGCCTGCGGCCCGCCGGCTCCCACGGGTGGGGGCCGGCGGCGGTGCTGTCAGGCACCGTGTTTATTGGGGTCGGCGGGCGCCTAGCGCCCCAGCGCGTCCTCCATTGATTTGGCCGGTAGCCTGGACCTCCGTGTTTGCTGTAGACTGACATGCAGCAGCTGACCGCGCTGGTGTCTTTCGAATTGATGCCTTCTGGCCGTGTGGATGCCGTTGTGGGCTGAGAGCTGGTACGCGATGCGCTTGTGTAGCTGAAGCCATGGGCTGAGAGTGAGAACCTTTTGGTTTTCCGTGATGAATTTGTCGCGCGCAACTCAATTTTTTTAGTGCTCTTTTCAGCTCAGGTGACACAGAGCGTGTCTCTGCTCTCTCTCGCAACCTCGAAAGCTCCACGTTAGCAGTCACTATATGAGTTGTTCTTTGCCTGAGCCGTTCTCGAGTAGACAGAGGGTACTAATCAAAACCTGAGAAGCCCCACCCGATATTTTTGGCTATGTGTGTGTGATGTTGACTACGGAGGCAAATACTTCCTTTTTAATCAATATTGCTTATATGTTTATCGTTTGCTGCCGTCCCGTGATACTGCAGCATTATGGCGTGCCATGTCTGCCACGGCCAGCTATCGCCACATCTCACGTGATTTTACTGCCGTCTCATGTGGCTGCAACATTACCGCATGCCGCGTGGGATTTCGCCGCCAGTTACCGCCACATTTGGCGTGATTGCTATCTGATGAATGGAAGACCGACACGAAGGCCGAGCACGTGGTCAGAAACATGCATAATTTCCAGAGAATTCAAAATGTTCTCAAGTCGAGGACCTTACAGTTTTGGCCAGGGTCCTGTAACAACAGGTTGGGCGGCAGGATATATTCCAAAATATACTAGGTTTGAGACAATGCTGGCCTCGGAGTACCTATATACCAATTTTAATAAATAGAAGTACACGTGATGGATTTTTAACACAATTTTGATGAGTTATAATCACTGCCAAAGTATTATCACGTGATATCGCGTAATTGTAAAATGGCACCCAGCAATGTTCTACTAGTGACTAAAAACTGGCAATTTTACAGTACTTGCGCAGTAGAGACGTTAAACAACAACCACACTCGCAACTTGGGCAAGCCACCTCGATGTGTTTTGGTGAGACTGCTTCACTAATGTTATATGGCCAATGAATGAATTGCGTCGTAAGCAACTATGAAAAAAACAAACTCATTTCTACACGAATAGAGAAGGAACAAAGCCGGGATGTTCATTTGTGTCGGAGCGTGGGTGCTTCCCATGACCTGACCACGGAATATTTCCTTTAGCATTTTATTTGAAATGATCCTTACCAGCCTGTCCTTTGCTGGTGACAGGTTGCAGGGGTATTGTTGGGAACTAGTCATGTTGCTGTGATGTTTGGATCTCTGCTCTAAGGTCTGGGCAATGTCTGTATGCAACACAAAGAAAAGGTGACAACTTCAGGTTCCAATTGAACTCCTCATTACCATACATTAACTTTGAATTTTAGCATTGGTAACAATCTAAAAAAGATCCCTACAATCATACCAGTGAGCTTACCCACATTACCCGTGTACAGATTTTGAAGGTGTTAAGCTTGAAAAAATGGGAAGATACTGTCTGGTTCCCCATTGCAAGACAGGAGGTGAGAAAAGCGTGAGACCACCCATTGTTATTGTTCACTCTTTACCAGGTCACAACAAAGCTGCCGAAGGCTGGATCAAGGCTGCTAAGAGGGATAAAATCAGTACCAACAAAAGCGCTGGAGTTTGCTCCCTTCACTTTTCTCCGGGAGATTATGTACGTGATCTGAAGTATGAGCTGCTCAACCCGGGGAAGGACCCCATGGCAAACCCCTCAACACGTCTCAAAGTGGAGGCAAGACCTTTGGAAATCCTTGGGAGAGAGATACAGAAAGAGTAAGATTAACATTTTTGTTTTTAGACTTTATTGCAATACCTGCACCAGCAACCCGTTTTGTGCTGTGTCTAGACTCGGCCGCAGGCCGCACGCGGTACTGGCAGTCTCTGGCGGCCGCCAGCAGGAGAGAGCGCATTTCGCCGCGCTCTCTGCGACACAGCCAAACCTATTCCATAGGATGAGCGAATGGTCGTGGGGTGTGGCCCGTGATTTTTGCCCCTTTCATGAACTGTCAGCCTTTTGAACGTTGGTAGCACTGCCGTTGTATTACACAGCATTACATTGTACCGAAGAGGGAAACACCATCTCGCTCTTTCCATTCATCATCGAAGTGCGTGAATCCCGCGAGTATTCGTGCCGTGGGTGCCGAGGTGTGGCACAAAACGCGCAAACCTGTGGAAGAGAGCAAAATCCATCCATTGAGCCCGTGCCACGTGATACGTGTGACCGCACCATTTCGCATGGTACACCGTCATTCCTGTGTCGCTGCAACCCCCAGCCGGTGTCTAGATTTTGGTGCGAGATGGCCTAATCGGTCGGAGGCAATGAATTACGGCAGCCAATCACGTGATTAGATGGCCGTTTAACCTTGAAGCAACATTTGGCTTCAGCCGAGACACCGGGCAGCGCCGTTCCGTCGCGGCGCGAAAAGCTGCCGTGCAACCCACTAATCTTGGCTCATTTGCGAGCGACATGTGTGAAAATGCGATCAACAAAAGTGTGGCATAGAGAATGAGTCGACCCATACGTCGATGAAGTTTTCAATGCCAGATTATGAATACTTTTGACAGTAGCGGCTGTTGTATTAGGCGCCGGCATCTGGCACTTTGTCCTACAATTTGCAGCGCAACGGTGCGTTGCGCAAATTCGCCATGCGACTGAAAGTGTAGCTGCATCAATTGTGAATGTCGGAAAACAAAATCCACGCCTGTACGCCCACGGCGACCGCCGACACGAATCGGCTGACACGCTGATGTAGTTTTCAACGCTAGATCACGCATACTTTTGACGGTAGCGGCTTGGAATCAGATTCGGTTTGAAAACTCGGCCCGTTGCAACTTGTAATGCGGTTTGCAGTGCAACGCTTGCGTCCGACAAACTCTCCATGTCCATTGAAAATGTGGCCGCTTGAATTGTTAATGTAACTCGTTAACCTTAAAATTGTTAAACGTTTGCAACGTTTAAATTGTTAACGTAAAACCGCGTCAATGGTATCTATCGACCCTGTGCGCGGAACCAGGTCCCCTGGATGTCCGGGTGGTTCGCCGGTTTGTTCGGCTGCGTACGTTCATTCGGCTCAGCTTTCTGAACCGAATGCGCCAAAAGGAAGCTCTGCAGCACTGCGAGAGGCTGAAGAGGCGTCAGTTTGCAAGGTGAGCGGTGGACCCAGCTGCACCGGAGGAGGCGGCCCGTGATCTGCTACGCTGTAGGAGGCGGCTCGTCATCTGCTGCACCGGAGGAGGAGGCCCGTCATCTGACCGGACTACGCTGGAGCGGAAGTCTCTTCTCTGGACCTGACTGCACGGGAGCAACAGGTGGCGACATTATGTTACTGGGCTGAGATGGTCCCATGTGACCTGGCTGTTCTCAATGCGGCGGTTCTGTGGCATAGCGGCACTGGCAGCCCACTAGAGGAGGTAGGCGACAGTGTTCGTTACTCTCAACGCCTTCCTGGCAGGTGCGCGGGACATACTATGCGTTACCTTACGCGTGACGAACATTATGCGGACCTGTGCACGGTGTATGAATCAAATCCGGACGGTGTAACGGAGGTGGACTTCTCCGCTGAGTTGGTGTACACCCATGTATTGTGTTGTGACGTTGAGAGCTGACATTTTAGAGACCATGAGAGCAAACATGACTGCTGTGAGCGCAAACATGACTGTTGTAAATCCTTCCATTGCTTGGGGACGTAATCTCCAATATCTCAGAAAATGAACTAAGTGCAAACCATCGCTTTCGACCCTAAACACGTGATTGCAAGCGCTCCAGACATTGTTATTACAGACACCAGATAAAATTACATGGTATCTGTCCTTCCGACGCTTCAGGTCATCAGGCTATGCAAGTGCCAGGTGTCCTCTCTCAGCATTGAAAACAGCTGCTATCGCCTTGGTATTGGATTGAACACTAAAATATCTCATTTGCATTCAGCTGACTTCGTCTATATCTGTCGCCGGTTCGAAACAGCCCGCATCTGGACCACACGTCTGAAACAGTATGTGACAGTAAAGACGGTAGTTACAACACATTGTGGTAAATGTCGTCTTTATTGGATGCAAGGCATGGCGCAGTGTTCCGGACTTGTGTTGGAATATGTGACCAGCCACAGCTGTTTTGTCTCCGGGTATGGCTAGGAGACATACCAATAAACGTCTTGAGACCCTTTTCGTTGAAAAAAAACGCCTCAGTAACACTGGAGAACGATTGTCAAAAAATCAGTGTTGTCTTGCACTTGAACGCCTAAATGCCCTCGGGCACGCCCATGTTGACGTCACCTGTGGGATTGCCAGGCCTAGTTCCGACTAGGTTCCGCCCCCCCCCCCCCCCCCCCCGGTCTCGGCTTGCTTTTTCATTAAGGCTCGCCCACCACAGAACTGTGTCACTTGACTGCAATGAATATGTCATTCATAATACGCTGTGATCTTGAAGCCTCCGTTATCTGGCCGTGAGCCGGTCCCGACTACGGGCGCGACTCAGCCGGCTACCAGCGGCGCTCTCTCACACCACGCTCTGACTGGGACGCCGGCGCTGACCCTGTCTGCCCGTGCCTTCCGTGCTGCTGCCGGCGCTGCAGATGGAGAAGGTGGGCCTGGCGCGGCAGGTGCGTGACCTGGAGTTGGAGGTCAAAGCCCGCTGTCGGCTGCAGCAGAACGCCTCCGACCAGATGGTGCGACACAACCAGGCCAAGCACAAGGTCAACAGGTGGGCTATCTAGCGACAGACGGCCACCGCTGACGGTGGATGCAGCCAGGTCATCCGCCGGATGATGTGCGAAATGCCACTCTCCTGTGCCATGACAGTCTCCTCATTGGTGGGTTTGTGTTGCGGCTGGGGTAGTGATAAACCGCAGACAATACCCACCTGCATCGTTGTATGACATATTTGAGAGCCGGTGCCTGTTCGTCAGAGTAAGATTAACATGAAACGTCCATCGGGCATACTTGTGAAGCACGATCGCACCAACCAGCTTCAGACAGGCAGGCGAGAGTCTTCTACATTTTATCATTTCATAATTCAGTACGGAGGTACGGGAAAAGACGTTTATCCCCCAGTTAGCAGTCCTTGCCGGATGTCTTGCGCAGGCAGCTTTCAGATTAGAATCCAATGCAAGTATGGCTGGTGGTGACCAGGACCCTGACCCCACCACGTCAGGGCAATTCCATGTCAGCGGCCAATTGTCGAGATATTTTGTGTCCGTGCCAAGCGGTGCCGTGGCACAGCCGCCCTTGTTTTGGCCAGGCGCTGTTGGTCAGTTGGTCGTTACCAGCACTGGCGTGCCACACAGCAAGTGATCTGTCCGTGAGTCCGCATGTCTGCCACGCTCCCAAGCTGGGCTGTCGGCCGGCTGCCACTGCACTGTTTGTGTGTGTAATGCCCGGCACGAGTGAGACCGTTGTGGGCGACGCGGCGAGTTGACCCGACCTGGTGTGACCTTGGCGTGGAGTCAGCGGCCGTGGTTAGTCGCGGCTCGGTTTCCGAGTCCGTAGCGACGCGGCCGACCTGAGCTGTGCCGCAGGGAGGTCAGCGGCCTGGGCGACTGGCTGAAGCGGCTGGAGGCCGAGGCGCGTGCGGCGGCCGAGCTGAATGGCCGGCTGCAGCTGCAACTGAGGCACCAGGGCCTGCGACTGGAGCAGCTCACCACAGCGGCGCCCGCCGACCACGCCGCCTCTACGGTACGGCGACGCTCGGACCCGGCGACCTCGCCGCCGCTACAGTACGGCGACGCTCGGACCCGGCGACCTCGCCGCCGCTACAGTACGGCGACGCTCGGACCCGGCGACCTCGCCGCCGCTACAGTACGGCGACGCTCGGACCCGGCGACCTCGCCGCCGCTACAGTACGGCGACGCTCAGACCCGCGACCCACGCCGCCTCTACGGTACGGCGACGCTCAGACCCGGCGACCTCGCGCCGCCCGCTACAGTACGGCGACGCTCGGACCCGGCGACCTCGCCGCCGCTACAGTACGGCGACGCTCAGACCCGGCGACCACGCCGCCGCTACAGTACGGCGACGCTCGGACCCGGCGACCTCGCCGCCGCTACAGTACGGCGACGCTCGGACCCGGCGACCTCGCCGCCGCTACAGTGCGGCGAACGCTCGGACCCGGCGACCTCGCCGCCGCTACAGTACGGCGACGCTCGGACCCGGCGACCTCGCCGCCGCTACAGTACGGCGACGCTCGGACCCGGCGACCCTCGCCGCCGCTACAGTAACGGCGGACGCTCGGACCCGGCGACCTCGCCGCCGCTACAGTACGGTGACGCTCGGACCCGGCGACCCGCCGCCGCTACAGTACGGTGACGCTCGGACCGGCCGACACGCCGCCCGCTACAGTACGTTGACGCTCGACCCGGCGACCTCGCCGCCGCTACAGTACGGTGACGCTCAGACCCGGCGACCTCGCCGCCGCTACAGTACGGTGACGCTCGGACCCGGCGACCTCAGCAGCCGCTACAGTACGGTGACGCTCGGACCCGGCGGCCACGCCGCCGCTACAGTACGGGTGACGCTCGGACCCGGCGACCACGCCGCCGCTACAGTACGGTGACGCTCGAACCCGACGACCTCGCCGCCGCCGCTACAGTACGGTGACGCTCAGACCCGGCGACCTCGCCGCCGCTACAGTACGGTGACGCTCGGACCCGGCGACCACGCCGCCCTACGGTACGGCGACGCTCAGACCCGGCGACCCTCCGCCGCTACAGTACGGTGACGCTCGGACCCGGCGACCTCGCCGCCGCTACAGTACGGCGACGCTCAGACCCGCGACCCCTCGCCGCCGCTACAGTACGGCGACGCTCGGACCCGGCGACCTCGCCGCCGCTACAGTACGGCGACGCTCGGACCCGGCGACCTCGCCGCCGCTACAGTACGGCGACGCTCGGACCCGGCGACCTCGCCGCCGCTACAGTACGGTGACGCTCGGACCCGGCGACCTCGCCGCCGCTACAGTACGGTGACGCTCGGACCCGGCGACCACGCCGCCGCTACAGTACGGTGACGCTCAGACCCGGCGACCTCGCCGCCGCTACAGTACGGTGACGCTCAGACCCGGCGACCTCGCCGGCCGCTACAGTACGGTGACGCTCGGACCCGGCGACCATCGCCAGCCGCTACAGTACGGTGACGCTCGGACCCGGCGGCCACGCCGCCGCTACAGTACGGTGACGCTCGGACCCGGCGACCACGCCGCCGCTACAGTACGGTGACGCTCGGACCCGGCGACCTCGCCGCCGCTACAGTACGGTGACGCTCAGACCCGGCGACCTCGCCGCCGCTACAGTACGGTGACGCTCGGACCCGGCGACCACGCCGCCGCTACAGTACGGTGACGCTCGGACCCGGCGACCGCGCCGCCGCTACGGTACGGAGACGTTTGGACCCGCGACGGCACGCTGCGGGCGAGCTGACTGAAGTGCAGCGTCCGGCAGGCGATGACGGCACGGGGTGGGTGGTTGTGGGGGTGTGCGGGCAACTTTCCATAAATACTGTAGGGATATACTCGGATTTAGCGTCATTGGAAACGGCCTAAATATCGAATAATGGATCGACTATTGGAGTTTTGTCTGAGTCACGAAGAGACGAACATTGTATGCAAGCGCGCAAAACATGACCCGCCCGATAGGAAATACATGCATGGGTGGGGTTATGCGGGACTAGGCGGGGACCAATTCACGAGGAGAGCGGATGGCCGACGGCTTTAAAGGCGTGCCTGCTGACCATTCTCTCGCTGTGCCTGGATTCATGACACCACGACCGCTGACCGTGACTGTCATTGAACTGCGCACGCTGGCCACTGCACGGTCGTGAGCTGGCTGTGGTGGGGCCGTCAGCTCGAGACACCGTCCTCTGGACTGTCTCGGGGGCGGCGGCCACGGCCTCCTCCGCACCGGCCGGGCCGTTGTGACGGTGGTGGGCCGTTCACTGGACTGTCTCGGGGGCGGCGGCCACGGCCTCCTCCGCACCGGCCGGGCCGTTGTGACGGTGGTGGGCCGTTCACTGGACTGTCTCGGGGGCGGCGGCCACGGCCTCCTCCGCACCGGCCGGGCCGTTGTGACGGTGGTGGGCCGTTCACTGGACTGCCTCGGGGACGGCGGCCACGGCCTCCTCCGCACCGGCCGGGCCGTTGTGACGGTGGTGGGCCGTTCACTGGACTGCCTCGGGGACGGCGGCCGAGGCCTCCTCCACACCGGCCGGGCCGTTATGACGGTGGTGGGCCGTTCACTGGACTGCCTCGGGGACGGCGGCCGAGGCCTCCTCCACACCGGCCGGGCCGTTATGACGGTGGTGGATTGCGACACTGCTGTTGCGAAACTCGTGGACAGTGTCTGAAGTACCAGCCGGCCGGCTCGCGACGTGCGATGTTTAACCGTGCAGTGTTCTCCGACAGCGGCAGGCCCGCCGACTGACTCTACGAGCGTCAGACGGCTGCTGGTGCCCAGCCACTCGCGCTTCCTTGATGTGCTAAATTAGATTTGCGACTACCGTTCTGCAAAGAAAAATTACCAGAAGTCTCATGGTATGTTAAATTGGAGTCAAAACAAAGCAATACGAGGTCTACGTCATCTCTAGCAGCCTTCATGAAGTAATGATGATAGACAGTCATTGCGCCGGCCATGACATGCACACTACAGCCCCAGACAGCGCATAGATGCGCGACTTAGGCTTCTCCGCGTTTTCCCCGGGTTGGCCCGTCCTGTTTTCGGCCTTGATGTGGTCTTTGGTTATTGTAGTTTGCAGCATCATGAACTCAAGCTCCAGCGACGCGCTAAAGCAATTCGCGATAACCGGACTGTTTACAACATGCAACTTACGACAAATGCGAGAAATCGAATTTCTGGAGAGACATAACGTGTGCATCTGCGCGTTGTCTGGGGCTGTCACCTCTCAGGTCATGACCCATGTCACAGCTGTCTATCATCTTCCCTTTCATAAACCTTGCTACAGATGGCATGAACCTCATGGTTCTGGCCATGCGCGCGCTGCTGTGAGAGGCGCCCGACGCCGCTGCCGCGCTGCCGACCGCGGACGTACCGTGCCCGGCAGTGTCCGGAGCTGGAGGAGCTGCGGGCGCTGCTGACCGCCGGCGGAGACGACCCTCGGCGCGAGCAGGCCAGGACGGAGGGTAACTGTCTGTACAGCAGGTGAGCCGCTCTTGTTACCCACCCGCTCCGGGCCGTAAGCCGGCCGTGTCACCCACCCGCTCCGGGCCGCCGACCGGCCGTGTCACCCATCCGCTCCGGGCTGTCAGCCGGCCGTGTCACCCATCCGCTCCGGGCCGCCGACCAGCCGTGTTACCGCACCCGCTCCGGGCCGTAAGCCGGCCGTGTCACCCACCCGCTCCGGGCCGCCGACCGGCCGTGTCACCCATCCGCCCGGCCGTGTTACCCACCCGCTCCGGGCCGCCGACCGGCCGTGTCACCCATCCGCTCCGGGCTGTCGACCGGCCGTGTCACCCGCCCGCTCCGGGCCGCCGGCCGGCCGTGTCACCCATCCGCCCGGCCGTGTCACCCACCCGCCCCGGGCCGCCGGCTGGCCATGTCACCCGCCCGCTCCGGGCCGCCGGCCGGCCGTGTCACCCATCCGCTCCGGGCCGCCGGCCGGCCGTGTCACCCATCCGCTCCGGGCCGCCGGCCGGCCGTGTCACCCATCCGCTCCGGGCCGCCGGCCGGCCGTGTCACCCATCCGCTCCGGGCCGCCGGCCGGCCGTGTCACCCACCCACTCCGGGCCGCCGGCCAGCCGTGTCACCCATCCGCTCCGGGCCGCCGGCCAGCCGTGTCACCCACCCGCTCCGGGCCGCCGGCCGGCCGTGTCACCCATCCGCTCCGGGCCGCCGGCCCCCTCAGCACGCCGGTCACCGCTGGTCGGCAAATGCTACAGGGAACCCATTCGGTTCCGGTCGGTCACAGACCTGCCTCATGGAACTTTTGTTGACGGATCATGGTTAAGAAGTGTTGTACATTGATGTGCATCACACATCTTGAAATGTATTTTGTTTATGAAATGACTGCATAGTAGCATAACATGATGCATTAGGAACACTGCATCAATCTCGCACTGCAACCAATGGGTTTTACGATTCATACGGTATACTTTGAGACGAAATTCGTTTTGTGCGTGCGGAGGTGGAATCTCGAATACCAAGTAACCATGTGTGGTACGTGCCCGCCTGTTGCCCGTCAATGATCGGAATATTTCGTGTGGCCAAACAACAAGCCGAGCATGTAAGCACTGTATTGATGAATAAGCTCTGAGTGACCGATGCGTATGGTCAACACATTGCACTGCTACAGACAAGTGCCAAGTTAAGCAACAAATGAAAACTGCTGTGATGCATTTTGGGAACTGGAAGGCATCATGTTCAAGCTCAGTGAGACCATGCTTATAGGCGGACACGCGTACGCAACAGTCTGTTGAAAGCTTCGACATCATCAGTGAACGCATTATATCGCACGCGACGCACCACACAGCCTATCATATCAAGCATGAGGGGGCATTTGATCATCTTGGTCCAAATAAAAAAATATAGAATATACACACAAAATTTCGTTGCGCCATTTTTGAAAATAAGGGGAAGGCGCCGACAGCGGACCCCGGCAGCGAGCAGTCGCCAGCTAAGCCATCTTGCCCGGAGTGCTGAGAAGAGCAGGACACTGGCAGCAGATTTGGTCGAGTTCTACAGCATGATTTAATGAACAGTCGGCCGCCAGATAAGCAGCCCCCACAGATGTTGATTTGTGTATGCGCAAGTACTTGGAAAGTCGCTTGCAGCGCACCTGGGGGGGGGGGGGGGGACTCGTGTATTCTCGTACTGAGGGCATTTGTCTTCATTCGCTGTACTGTCGAGTGGCAATGCAAATAGAGTTGGGTGGAATCGATGCTACGTAGCGGATAGGAATGTGGGAGTATATATGGGGGGAGGGGGGGGGGGAGGATTCGGGGTGGGATGTGTGCGCTGCGCGGCTCCGGGGCTGCCCCTGGATGTTTGTGCGCCGCCGGCTACCGCCGTCACGCCTCCCCACAAGGGCGAATTTATAATGAGGAGCCCATTGGTCAGCATACGAGCCATATGATGTTAGCCCACGACTCGGTACGTTGTGACTCCGGCGAACCCGACATCAACACACCCTCATGTGAGCCACAGAGCTAGGATGAAGCGGGCGATCGGGGCGTTGGCGGGATGGTAGGTCCGGTCAGGCGCCATGAACGGCTGTCTTCTCCCATATGGCTGAAGGTAGGTCCGGTCAGGCACGATGAACGGCTGTCTCCCCGCACATGGCCGCGCTCCGCACATGGACTCCAGGCCGCGGCGATGGCGACTATTGCCTCCGGGGAGGCTTGTCCTGGCACGGCCCGGGTAGGGCCGGCCGTGATCAGGTGCCGCCCCAGGTGGGAAGGGGGGGGGGGGAGGGGCAGGCTGCGAAGTTGCTGCTCGGCAGGAACAATTAGAATTGCCAAGTCGTGAGAACTGACGGGCAGCCGAAATGTGACTTGTCACACTTCTTTATTTGGGAGGTGTGCATTTATTCGGTTTAATGCAGCTGCAGTTCATCGGCACAATAGCATACATAGCCAGCAATAGCCAGAAAATAGCAACAATAGCCAGCACATTTTGTCAACCGCAGCATATTTTGCCGCAATGTGCCGCGGTTGACTTGGGCATGTTACGATTGAATGGCGGGTCGGGGCCTGCTCGAGACACACTGTTCAGAATGACTGCTGATCCCAGAAATTAATCCAATCAAAATGTTAGAATTTTGATCTTTTGAAGAAACATTTATTGACAAATACCATGTGTTGCATGTTTGATCCTGGCATTCATTATGTTGAGTAACATTTCGCACTTGGTGTTACCTAGCCATGTAAACCACACGCCACCTGATAGAACCGGGCCCATGTTGCTGAAATCATGTAATGGGCTCAAGTATGGGGGATGCCAAGCCACGCAACGGACACTTTCTGGACTTCCCTTCCACACACTTCCCGTCCGCACTCATTACCACTGCTTGAGTCCAAAATGTTTGTCAGGTCACAAACGGCAACATGCCATCCCGCGCACGTCTTACGAGTCCGCTGGTAGAAGCTAAGGTGTTGGGCGTTGCGAATGATGATTGGGCGCTCCATGTCACCATGCGTGCTAGATTGTCGACTTGGTATTTACTACAGGCAGTGGTTGAAAATCAGATTCGCTTAGCTGTATGGCTGTCGCAGTGGCTGACCAACGGTCCTTAATCAGAAGCTAACATGCGGTAAAATGCCAGACCCTGGGTGGGTTTTACGTTCCTGATGTCTGTAACCAATACTGCATACTTTGTAAATCAGTTCCGCGCTTAAATACACTCCAGCTGTTTGTGCTGTTAAACGAAACGAGAAACCACAACAAGAATAGTTTAATTAGATCGCAACAGACAAAACATTACGCAGTTAGAACATGCCGCTGAAAACTGGACGTGGTGGTCGACTTCAGCAAGACAAAACATTACGCAGTTAGAACATGCCGCTGAAAACTGGACGTGGTGGTCGACCTCAGCAAGTGACGCATGATGACGTTTGGGGTGCCGTTTGGGACTAACAAAAGTCACATTCCATGGCATTTAGGTCCAACATGACCTAGCTAAGACCTATCAAGGTCATTAGCCTGTCATGACGTGCATTAACGATTTTCAGCACCCTCGAACTTGTTTTAGGGTGAGGGTGCTGAAAGCAAGGTAGCGGGATTCACTGCAGATATTTCAAAGATGTCGCGGTGTGCTGATACCTGCCTCCGCGACAGCGTGTTCCCTGAGTTATAATTTTGATGGCATTCAGCAATGCGCTTCGCTACATGAAGCCGTGCCTGTAGGAATGAGTTGCCTGTTATTCAGCTATGCAGTTTTCACATGGAACGCCCACCTAGAGCCAAGTATGAATAACCGGCTGTATCCGCTGTCACTGGCTGGTAGCGAGCTTGACCAATTCTGCATGTCAATTTTAAACGCGAATTTCTAGGGCTGGGAAGGATAAAATATTGCATTTCCTGACAAAACACTTCGGTCTGCGTGACTGCAGAGTTGTAATGGCGGAAGCAAAAGTTGTTTATCGCGGCCCAATGAATTTTGCCGTTCTCATAAGCACGCAATGATTTCTAAACTTGAACTACACTTGCCTTTATTGTTGTACTGCAATCATACATATAGCCCCGGCTCCTCCGTCGTAAGCCAATGATTATCGATGCATTCGAAGGCGATTTGTGGTCCGGGGAGTCAGTCGTTCGTGGAAAACGCCGTGACGCAAACCGTTTCAACGGCGTCGCACATTGTTGCAACATCAATAGCTCGTGTAAAGTTATTGATGATGCCATAACCTGCCTGAGGAGGGCTCGGGGAAGATATGTAAGTATATCACGCGTGTTTGGAGCAATCAAAGACGGATCCAAGGTGGAAGCATGGCTCGGGCTCTGCTTCATAATTCAACCTGTTTTATTTCATGTCAGAGTGCAAAGTACCGCATTATGTTATGCTATGCATTATGCTATGTTTTCAGATTCAGTGATGGAGTGCACCCTTGACTGGGTTAATAATTGCCACTGCGTGAATAAATCTTAGTAAAGGACTCTAGGCTATGGACAAAGAAGCTTCAATGGTCCTTGCCTTTCGCAAGCTTTGAGAAAGTAGCTGAAAAACATGTGTGTCCGGATTATCCGGCCCATGTGACGGTAGTTTTTGTGGATGGCTAACATAACGCGCTTGGATTTTCAACACGGTTCTCTTACTTTGCCTTTCGATGCGATTTTAACGTCATGTGTCTTCCCATTCTGCCGTCCGAAAGTAAAACCCCATATGTTAATTTCTGGCCATTTTGCGCTTTTCGTGTCATCTGATCCCTTCTTTCGTGCTAAATTTAGATATTTAAACCAAAAGCCGAAATTTGCACAAGCTTTTAGCTAAAAGAATGGGCTAAAAGCTCGTGAAAATTTGAACTAATGGTTTTAGTCACCAATTCAGCATGAGCAGACGGATCAGACGACGTAAAAAACCTAAACGGCTAAAAATTAACATATGGGGGTTTTCCTTTGGACGGCAGCATTGCTGTATGGTTACAACTTCGTGCTCTGGACATGATGCGTCATTTGTCATTTTCAGCTTTTTTAAGAAAGCAAACAACAGACAACAAACAACAGAAGTCGCTCTGTGTTTCGGCAACAAACCTACACATACCCATGTGAGCTGGCGCGCACCTGCTGCCACCCTTGTTTGTCTTGACACACCAACCACTTATGGCCTATTTCACCGCTTCAAAGTGTCATGTGAGTTGGTCCAGTCCAGTCTGGACAACATCGCTGTGAGTCCCGCACAGGACGTGGGCCAGTTGATTTTATACCTATACGTATGAAGGGACTGACCTGGTGTCCCTTCCCGGTGACACGACGTCAGCGGAAACCCTCGATGCTCCGGAGGCAACGACGAGTAGGATCAATAACGAAGATCATCTTTGGTATTGAAAGCACTAGTGCAGCGTTACCCAAGTTTTGGGAAAGGCAGGATCGCCTGGCTCTAGCAATGCGAAGTGGCGTATTCTGCTAGCTTCAAACTGCACGCGGCCATACCATGTCCTTGGGTCAGAATGCATGTTAGCCTTGACATCTCGGATACCTTGCACCTTTGAGTTCCTGTTCCAAAGTGTCTGCTTGAGTGTTTTTTTTTCAAACGTCCCTCGCAGCAATGTGCCGTCTCCCGTTTCTGCCTTCCATAGCTTCACGTACCTTGCTGCTCCGTTCCACAGTTTGGCGGAAGGCGTACCAGTAGCGCCACCTCTGCTCGGCTGTCACAGCAAAGCTTCCGCGGACGGCCAGGCGGGGGCAGGCGGCGAGGACCGCCAGGTGGCCGCTCCGGAGGTCGACTGCTCCGGAGATGCCGTCGTGCGGAGTGGCACGAGCCGTCCGCCGCTGCTCGGCGTCCCTCAGCCGAACCAGGACGCCAAAGATGAAGACCCATGAGCGGGACGACTCACTGTGGACTAGGTGTCAGATGCTCACTGCTTTTCGATGGTTGTGACACCTTCATGTTTCCTTCATCAGCAACAAGACAGCCAGTTGTAAAAATAATTATCCAATGCTTTGTATTCGTCATGTTTCATCCATGAAATAGACGACAGTGCAGAAAAAAACATGGCGATCTTTGAAATAATTTTGATGAGTGCCTGGGGGATGCGCGTGTGCAGAACATGAGGGACCACTTGAGGAACACATTGTAAACATCGGACGGTGAGGGGGGATGAAATATCGTGTAACAAACAGCGGCGAGGCAAGGAATTTTTACAAAAGCACCAAAAGACACCGACCGTAAAATTTTAAGATAGCCGTATTATGATTTGTTTGTCCAGAACTGAAAGCACGAACATCGTCATGGACCGCGATATGATCAGCGTAGTTCAGGTAACACCGCTCTTCTAGCGAGCACTTCCTCACCCGATTACATCCCTCCCCCCTCCCCCCTCCCCTTTCCTCCAAACAGCAGATCTCGGGAACGGCGTATATTGGAAAACTTGAAGTATGTTGAAAATTCGAGTTAAGTTATGACTAATACCATGTATATAGCTGATGTATAAAAACTACCTGGTACTGATTCAGGCAATGCAGCGGTGCGCGCGAATAGACGAGACAGTGGCCCGTGCGTGCCTGATAGACGAGACAGTGGCCCGTGCGTGCCTGGTAATATTCTCGTGCCACCCGTGGTGCACACTTCTGCGAGGAGGCCTTGACGCTAGGATCCCATCGGCAGGTCAAAATTCCCAATCAACGGCCACATCGGTGCGACTACACCGCTGCAGGGTATGGTTAGAAAATAATGAAATGCATAGAGTAGCTCTGGCAGATGTGTCAAGCACGTGGATGGAAAGTGTCGACTATAGAGCTGTATCCACCTCTGTGACGCACCGGAAGTCGTTGGACGGTGCTTCGGGGAGTCCTGCCAAGCTCAGGAAACACCACGGATGTGTTACTGACGACGAGGCAACTCGCCTGCCAACGATGGAGCAACACTTGACGTAGACGATGCGTGCGTTCTATCATCAAGGAAACGATGCCGAGTTCCTCATTAAAGCCATGTAGCTTGCCTAAATTTGCCAGAATGTCAAAAATGCAGTTTCCTGCGGCACATAACGCAATAACGCATGTTTTTTCCAACCTTTGACAAATACACGTCTTGAACGACACAACTGCGGCACATCGAACCGAAATTGAATTTTCATTTTTCGCAAGGATGCCTCAACTTCAAGTTTATGGTGACTTTAACGTATGGAACACTTTCTTGCCTCAAACTTTGTGCTTCAAGTAGGTAGGGGAATAGGCATGAAATTTGCAGGGCAACGCTATGTATATATATATATATATATATATATATATATATATATATATATGTGTGTATATATATATATATATATATATATATATATATATAAGCGAAGAGTATTTACCCTAGATGAGTACTGGAGACTTAGTCGTGCCGACATTTTCCCCCACGGACATGGTGTGAGATGCTCCCTAGAACCGAGGATACAAAAGATGAGGCGGTTCGAACCGTCCGTGCAGTTGTGCCTGTCAGCCGCTGGGACCTCTTCGTACCTCGTACACGCCCTAGCTTTGTGCTGTACGGGGCGGAACGGACCGCCGCGGTCCGTCGCCTCTTGCTTCTTCTGCTGACCTCTGCTGACCTCAGCCGCACCGCTTGCCTGTCGATAGCTGTTGCCGCTGCTCTGGACCGCCCTAGGCTAGCGGTTCTCGTCTCACTCCCTCGGCATCTGGCTGGCCGTCGCCGTCGCCGCGGCCGGGCCAGGCGCCAGCCTTCAACTCCAGGGGCGCTGGTGTCACGCGTCTTGCGCTGGCCGTATTCAGGGACGGCTCGACTGCGTTGCCCGTCGTCGTCCAGTATCGTCCCTCATGACCGACTTTCTCGCGTTAGGTGGGCTGATATCGCCGCGGCCGCGGCTTGCAGAGAGGCCCTCGGCCGCCAGATCCGATACAGCTCCGTCAGAGATAGATGCACGGATCTGGCGGACCACTTATTGGATCTAACTTACGTGAGATCTAAATCTGGCTGAACTATCGAACCTTTCTCACGGCGTCAATTTGATCCCCACCCGATTCTCGGTGACCAACAATGTCGTTTTGGGCATCTTAACCGTTTTGGGTCCGATCGATGTGCCGGGACACCCATAACCATTCCGTTCTTGCGTTTTCAGGCAGCCGTCAAATGTACAACTTGCACATAATATATATGCACAAGAGAGTGAACTACAGCACTGTTTCGATGCCCACAACAGACAGGTAATGATACGGAAGGTAGCACTATGCTCTGACCTGCAAAGGGCGAACGAAATATTGCAAAGGAAGCGGAGCTACAAAACGCCAGTTGTGATCTACTTTTCGGATAATCTTTCATGTTTTCACTAGATCACGTGGATTTAAGAATGACTCCACTTGGGTAGATGCTATGCCCATCTAACATAGCAATGGTCTGATCATCCGTCGTATGCCTGCGAGATGAACCGCTTCGTTTAGTTCAACGTCGCACCTATCCCGGCAGCGTGCAGAACATAGGTCTGTCGTAACCATCGCTGGGTCTGTTGATAGAGTTTTCACCTACTGTCCCATTTGCACCGAAAGTCTGTCAAAATTCACCGCAGACGGTGAAAGACAATGCGATCGAATAGTAACACGCTCCCGGGTGGCCGGTTGGATACCCTGCACTTGGGTGGGGGTCAATTTGATCTTCCTGAGATCTCAAGGATTAAGAAAGCTTGAGACACCAAATTTTCAGGGTATGTTGGCCTATAGCTGAGCTCACTCAGGTCAACGTTTGAGGTTCCAAGGCCATGACCTTTGGGTCAAATAAGGTCAAGCAAGGTCAATCTCTAAGTTGGTTTCCAAAGTGCCATGAGACCGTATCAATAGATGCCTGCTCTAAGGAAAAGGCCACATGGTCATTTAAGGTGAGTGACCTTGTCTGACACTTTGAAGATCATGGTGACCAAAATCACAAGGGTGCTTTGAGTCTTGCATTTGAATAAACGACCAAGCTTACGCTAGGCAGTCTGTTTCTGGAAACCAAATGTTGAGCTGGGTCATTTTAGGTGAGTGACCTATTGTGACCTTTGAGAAGTCCATGGATGATGTATGATGCGGTTTCTGTTATCAGTCAATTCAAAATGGGCATCAGAAACAATCCTATAAACCGAGCCATCGAGTAATAACACAGGTTGGTTTTGACCTTAGTCTGACCGTCATACCAGACCTTAAGTCTATGAAATTTGTTCATCCAATTGTTGTGTTGCCTAAGAAAGTATTTCAGAGACGTATGGCTTCGTCTAACACTCCGTTGTTACATCAAGTTGAACGATTCCCTTGAAATCGACTTCCTAGAATCCATGGCCTGGTTTTGACCTGCTGTAAATCATCGACCTTACAAAGAACTTCAAAATGTTTAATTTTAAGCGATTCACTATTCACTTGTCTACAGCTAAGCAAAATCTAGCGCGGCTTCACCACGCCGTTCGGAAACTATTCTGAAAACCTTCGGGAGATCAATTTGACCCAATTCGAGGCGTGTTCAGCGATTTAAAAAGAAGTCGAGACAAGTGTCCTGATACCAACAGTAAGCAGAAGTTAGCGCTCTACTTTGTGCTTCAAACACAACAAACAAGCAAAGTTTGACAAACTTTGCATAATCTTTTTATGTTCTACATACGATCATTCCTTTCATGCCATTAACTCTTCTTGCCCTAAGATTCTCATGTCTTTGTAGGTTGGATTAGCTTAGGTTAGCTTAACTTAACTTAACTTAGGTTAGGTTAGGGTGGGTTAGGTTGGTTTAGGTTAGGGCAGCTTAGTGAGGTGGATTAGGTTAGGTTCTCGCCTATTCTGGTCTGTTCTACCCTATTATGGTTTCATAAACTTATCTGCATGCGGTGCTGGCGTAGGACGGCGCGAAAAAAAGTCTGCGCACAGTCGCGTCTCGTCACGTTCACCCCACATGGACCCACTGAGATCATTGCATTATTGTTTCCTTGACCCCGTACATTTCTACCATTCTTGATGTGCAGCAACGGTGTGTGGTTGTTACCACGCACCAATAACGTGGCAAGTCGCCGGGCGTTGTGGTTGTTGCGTATTTGCAGCGCTCTGACGTTCGCTATCGTAAATATAAAAGTTCGAAGGTAATGGTATAAATGTATCTGTTTTATAATTATGTACGATATGTTTTGCCTTAAAAAAGACGATTGATGTACAATGATCGGTACTCTCCAAGTAACGCCACTTACTTTTCAGGTATCTGAAACAATAAATTTCAATCATACGCTACTCTTGAAAACTGGACGATATGATATTTGATGGATATTGTTTCGGAAAATTATACTCTTCATACCGTAAATCTGCAAATCCTCTTCAGGCCTCATTGAACACTGCCCTCAAGGCTCAAGGTCGGCTCAAGGTCCATTGTGAGCACAGGGCCTTCTGTTAGGCGCTGAGGGTCACTGGCAGATACAGGAACCCCAAACAGTGCAATTCAATAGCTCCAGCTTTTTACCTGCTTAAGAATTGGGCCCTCAGGCCCATGTCGCCACGGAGCCGACTGTGCGGCACTGGTGGCGCCTAACCGACTGATAGGCCCATATCTGCTTAAGATGTCCCTGATCGGCGCAAAGGGTCCTTTGGCTGTCATTTTAGAGCCGTCTCACAGGCCGGGGCCGATGAATAAGGCTCTGACCAGCCCTTCGTGCGCTTAGCCCCGATCGAGCCTTTGATCGTCTGATCCGCTGGGCCCTCCAGACTATTCGGGCCTCCTCGAACACTGTCTTTGGCTGACTTGGGGCCCTTGCCACAAGCCTTTGCTGACACAGGGCCCCCGTTAGGCGCCGTGGCCCCGATCTGTGTAAATCGCTGGCTCTGGTTTGACCCTACTTAGGATGTTGGCCCCCAGGCCCATGCCGTCACGGAGCCGACAGTGTGTTACTGGTGGTGTCTGACCGACATAAAGCCCTTATGGTCTCAGGAACCCCTGACCAGCGCGCAGGGCCCTCTGCCTGGTATTCGAGTGTCTCTTCCGCTTGTGTGGTATGC